TTAAACTTTAAATGACGATATATACACGAAAACAAACTAATTCTATTTCAATCTTTACACTGATGTAAAGTTCACTTTTATAACTACTTTGTGTTGTAAATTCAAGTCTTTCTGATTTACGGTCGCGAAGCCGTACCCTCAATAAGCATATAACCCTCGAGTCAACTTTCAGCCCCGAGTCAGTTGCTCGCCGAACGGTTTTAAAGGTTGACGACCGATGATGCTAAACGGATTTTACCCTTGCTAGAGCCTTCAAACAAGTTGTAAGTATCATTTTTAAAGTTTCATTTCCATTTTAATAAATGAATTTTAAGTTTGAATGTCAGTTTGGTTTAATTAGCACACGTTATTAATGTAAATTTGAACCCTACTAGTCCACGGTTTTAGGGCGTGAACTACGCTTGTACACATGGTGTGTTTAAACGTGAAGCTATTTAATTCAGGACATTCTAGGGACTTAAAATATGGATGCACTTAACTATTAGATGCTAGTGTTTACTAATTCTTTAAAATCTATCGAATGGGATTAATGATATGGTCGTATTACTACAGTTTATCTGGACTATCGCGTCAAAATTATGAATCGACAAATTCAAAATGGCCACCAGACTTTCTTGGTTACTATGTGGACGAACTCAATTATTTACAGGGAACGAAGGTTAAATACTTATAAAATATTATTGAAACACAAAAGAAACTTATAATTGTAATAACTATACATTTTTTATCAATTTATTTAAAACAAAAGACACTAAATTTTAAGGACTAATGTGATTAATTTTTAATTTTCTGTTGTGCACTTTGATTCTGATTCCCCTGCTGAATAATGTAAAATGGTCTGCGCCAGTCTCCTTGATAAAATGTATCAGATCAATTTTTAGATGGTGGTGCAATTTAATAAGATTGTACATGTTGTGACTTAGTTTTAAATGTTATATTAGTTGTAAGTGTAAGTAGTACTAGTAGTATTTCTCATTATTTATTTATTTTATATGTATATAGTAACACTGAAGGACAGTTAAGTTGTCCTATATGATGTTGAGAACCACAGTATGGCATCTTCATCATTGGATATCTCAACCATTGTGGCACAAACAACGAATATTTCATTCAATAGAATTAATGTTCAAAATATACTATCAAGTATAAATTTCTTTAAACAAAAAGGTGTTTTCAGGCTTTTTCATGTTTCCAGCTACAGTCACAGGATAAATAGTAGGCCTACACAATAGGCTAGTAGTAAATCTAATTATATTTTATTAATCACTAAATCAATTATTTATTCCATAGCTGGAGACATTTATGGTGGCCTATCCAGAACTTTCCTTACAAGGGAAGGGAAGAAGGCCAAGCCCCCACCCCCCAACTACAGTTCCCAAAACATATCACTTACTCTTGATGCTCCACAAGATCAAGGTTGGGGGAAACAAGAAATACAAAGATGTGGAGTTGTCGTTTTAAAAACTGTTCCCCCAAAGCAGTTATCAACCCAATAGGTTTGAATGTAGCAGCAACTGCTGCATTACTTGCAGGCATCACGTCTTTATTAGATTACATTACATTACTCCACTAAATTTTGATTCTGTTTCTCCTGCTCTAGATAACTGTGGCATTTTTTAAAAATAATATTTTAACTCATGTGATTTTTGAAAATAATGAACACATTATTCCTGTTAATGTTACCAACAAAATAGTTTTAGAGTTATTCTATGTCCAAAGCAAAAAAAAAAAAAAATTATGAAAATAAAAGTGACCAAAACGCATTTTTGTCATTTTCAATTATTTTTTTACCTTAGAAAGACTCATTTTAGATAACTGAAAAAAATTGGGCATATATATTACAAACTTTGCAGTAACTTTACCAATTTCTACACTTCTATGTTATTTAGTTTAGAAAATATGGGTTCTCAAAAATGGCACTTTTTAAAAATCAGTTTTTTACCAAATTTTGCTTTTTTAAAAATAGCATAACTTTTTTATTTATTAAGATATTTTTATAAAATTTGTGGCATAGAGCTTACAATTAAAAGTTCTTTCATGACATACTCACTCCAGAAGTCTGCAATCAATAGTTAATTTCAGTTTGGACTACCTACTATCTGGTATAACTGTCTTGACTGGTATAAAGAGCCGCCTTAGAGGTTTGGAAAGAAGATCCCTCCGAGTCCAAAGTATTCCCGAACAAGGAAATACGAAGAAGGACACATGAATACATGAGAAGACTCCCGAACATAGCGCTAAAATGGACTCCACTTGGAAAATGAAAGACAGGAAGGCCACTGGGAACATTGAAGAGAGGGGTGAAAGAAGAAGAGCAGGCTACTGGCAAGACCTGGAATGAATTGAAGTGGCTCGCCCAAGACAGAGTGGAATTTTGCAGCTTGTTTTGAGAGTTCTACCAAATGTTTGTGGACGTCCACATGGGGGGGGGGGGGGGGGGGGGAGAGGGGGGGGGGGGGAGGTGGAGGTAGGGGGGGGGGGGAGTCTAAACTTCCAAATTTTTGTGGACGTCATAAATGGATGCCCCCTAAAACAAATATAAAAAAACCTTTATAGCAACAAGCTTTTAAATGCACTGATAATAAGAAAATAAAAACGAATTTGCTTTCTTTAATAACAAGCTTTAGTCGCTAAAATATGTAGAAGATCGCATGAGCGACCAGAACTTTTATTAAAGTAAAGCAAATTTTTAAAAAATTCAGTGCATTTAAAAGCTTGTTGCTATAAAGGTTTTTTTTTTTTTTAGTAATTCCTGGATTATAAAGTCGTCACGACTAAAAATATTTATTTTAAAACACCATCAGTAGCTCGCGATATGGGATCGTCCATAAATGACGTCACACTCGTAGGGGAGAGGGGGGTCCGTAATTTTGTGACGGTGTGTGATGAGGGGGGGGGGGGGGTCAGATGGTGCGACGTCACACTTTTGCATTATAAAAAAGCAATGTTAGATAATGAATTTTAGACGTCATTTCGCGTTTTAGAAAACTGTTTTAGTAAATTGTAATAGGAATTGATTAAGTACTCTATTTTGACAGAGTTCAGACAAGATTTTGGAAAACTATCGATGTTTAAAAAAAAATTCAAATGCAATTTTGAGGGGGGGGGGGCTGAGGTGTGACGTCATTTTACTGAAAATTACTGAAAAGCAGACAATAAAACAACTAAATAGCGGCGTATGATACGCTGCGGGTCGGCTCGTCTATCCTAATTTATAAAAGGCCATGTGCGCTCTTCTCTCTCTCTCTCTCTCTGTCTGTCCGCAAAATATTTTCGCCGGACATCACGTCAGAATCGGCAGCGATATATCGAGAACTTTTTGCAAACTTTTGTTGAAAATAATATGTTAGGTGTTTTAAATGTATAACCACAATTTTAGTTAAAGAAGAAAAATAAAAATTAAAGGCGTATTCGAATGTAGAGAAACAGTATTATTTATGCAACCGGAAAAGCATTAATATGTGTGAAAAAGAACGCATAAAACTGTGACGTCACTATTGCTTATACATTAACTAATGACGTCATCTGCCGTGTTTAGAATGAAAAGAAATGAACTATTTCATTCAAATTTGATTTAGATCTACGTACACTATGAAATGTATACAATACAATTTTTCCGGCCTAAACTCATAAAATTTATTTTATGTATTTGGATTCTAGATCTAGAGATTCTAGATCTAGACTAAATCTAAATCTAAATCTACGCAATAACTAGATCTAGAATCTAGACGTAGACGCTAAGATCTAGATTTAGACTCTAACTTCTCTAAAATCAATTCCAAAAATAAATTTCTATATTAGGACTAAACTATTTCAAGACTTATTTATTGTATACAAAATCTTTGTTATGAACTGGCTAATTTGGGATAAAAAATTAATTTGAAAGAATAGGCATATTCGCGTAAGTTAAGATTTTAAAATACGTGTTTCATTCTCCGTATTTTATAAGGTGCCTAAATAGCGGAGATGTTAGTGTACATTAAACCACGCAGGTGGTGCGGGTTCGAGACACAGCAAGTCAACTTGGTTAATGTACTCTTTTTTATTATGCTCGGGCTAAACTTAAAAAAAAATTCTTTTAGGAATCTAGATCTAGATCTAGATTGTCGGGTGTCCGATAGGGCACTTCCCGGCGCCGCAGGCGCTTCAAATTTGGCATGATCTTGCCTTGGTGCGACAGAACACGGGGGCCGGTTGGCCGAAAAGTCTACGATGTGGGGGTCAAAACTGACCTCGACTGACCGGTACCTTATATGAGCTATAAATCGAAAAAAAATGTCCACGGAAGAACCTCTTCATAACTCTTGAGGTCGTAGACCGAGCTTCGGGCGAATTAATTAAGCATTCAAATTCTCAATGTTTTCGATAGCCTAAGCGAAGCTGGGCAGCATGCCTAGTATATATATAATTCTCTTCTTGGAGACCATAGAAAACACCAAGCTGTAAGCGCGCCCAGAGAAATCAAAGACATGCCTGGAAGAAACTGGCCCCCAAACTGAAATTCGATAGTTAATGTGGCCCTCGGTCTAAAAAGTTTGGAGACCCCTGTTTTAAAGTAACATGTTTTCAGTCGCAGCATTGGTAGTGTTGAATTTAAAAAAAAATGAATTACTGAAAAGTAGAATGTATATATATATATATATATATATATATATATATATATATATATATATATATATATATATATATATATATATATATATATATATATATATATATATATATATATATGTATGTATATATATATATCGTGTTTTGTCATTACGGATTTAAATTCTAACAAACGAAACATTTTATAATCAGCAGGTATTTTAGAGATTAGAGGCATTTTCGGAATTAAAATTTAAATGTCATTATATTGAAAGTAAATAATTTCCCTCCCTGATATTTCAAGGGTCGCTACAAATTACATTTCATTCCTTACACAAATGTGGGCTCAGTTTGGCACTTAAAAAAAACAACAAAAAAAAAAAAAAAACATTGGTTTGACATTTAGGATGACCAAATCTATCAAATATGGCGACCTTTGAGTGATTCACTGCGTGTGAATCAAAAGAAATTAGACTACTAAGTTGACCTAATTAAAATTTAATCGATTTACTAAGGATTATAACATATACACACGGCGATGATTTTATCTTGTAGTTCATTATCGTAGACAATGGCTGCTGATTCTGGCAAGCCAATTAGTCGTGTCGATATGCGAGAAGGTGAGTAAAAAAAACCCTGTTTCCGGCTTCACCCAGATAGACTGTCATGATGTTTGACTAAAAGTTAGTAGATCTAGATCTAGACTAGATCTAGATAAATATCTAAATCTAGATCACAATCTTTCTAAGATAATTGATTATCTAATAGATCTAGATTTGTTAGTAAGGCCTAATAAATAATAAATTGATGATTCTACAATTCTACATTCTACATCATTGAAGTCATGATCTCAACTTGACTCAACTAACTACTCAGTACTACTCAGTGGGAATTTCCCTTTTATGTGTGTGTGTGTGAAAAATCAATCAATAGTATATTATTTAATAAGAGTGACAAATGCAAAATCCCCAGCGCTTTTATTAATCTAGATCAGAAGATCTAGGCCTATTCTATTCTAAATAAAACCCAGGCACTTTATTTTAAATATTTTTACAAGACAGTAGCTCAGTAGGCTTGAGTAGGGCTGATGAGTAGGCCCAGTCTCTAGACTTTCTAGATCTACTGCACACATTTCATTGCCTACTAACTAGGCCTACTATGTATAAATAACTAAACTACAATCAGGGTAATTAATATTAGGCCTATTAGCCTATTGATATTAATTAATAGATTGACTAGGCTTAGGCCTATTGCTTTTAAAAAATAAAATAGATTTTTCCATCACTTTGTGATTCACATTGGTAATTCTACCACTACCATAATATATAGATTCTATATCTGTCTAGTTCTAGGTTTTGTTAAAATATGTGATAGATCTTCTAAAGTATTAGTACATCAGTTCAACGACTCTGTTTAAAATAAATTTTTAATTTTTTGCAGCTTATAGGCCTAACTATTTTTACAATAATCAATTTTATCCACTCATAACACTTTGTTCTTGAATGTTTTCATCTTGAAATTTCAGTTTCACTGTAGGTGATATTGTGTGGAAAAGCTTCAGTTTACTTATTATAATGGGCGCTTTCTTCCACCCCATTGTTGCAAGCAGTTAGATTTTGAACACAAAATAAAATTGTCTTTTTTAAATTCATTTTAAGGATAAGGTTGTTTTTAGTGTGTGAATTTTGAGCTTTATCTCATCATCTTTTCCTGTTTGTGCCCAAGACACATGAGACAGATGAAGTAGAGTTCATCTGTATTAGTGACCTCAGCATACACAGGGATAATGTGGTTAACACTATGCCCAACTATGATGTATAAATTCTATAGCACTTGAGAACCAAATATCTTTTACTTTTTCACATAAATTTTGATACAATTCCATTCTTACCAATGTGTGTAAGAATGGTGTGATCTTTCTCTGACACCACAAATGTTCATCACTCAATATATATACATTTTGTGATAATATTAAATTGCACTTACTTAACTTCTCTACATAAAAGACTTTTAATTCTTTTTTTAAAAAAAATCATAGTAGGAGTAATGTAGCTGATTATCATCATTATGCAGATACATTTTGTAATATTAAATTGGACTATGTCTCCATTGAAAGACATGAAAAGTATTATTCTTTAAAAAGTTACAGAAGCTGGGTTTAAATCAGCGATGTCTTGTTAGCAGTCATATAAAAATGTAAACATTAATAATTCTTGTGGATCTCTTTCTTTAGTTTGTTGCAGTTTTTATAAAATTGATTAGTTAAAAATATCTTGTAATAACTTAAAATACTTTCACTTTTTTAGGTAAAGATAAAGCACAAGTAAGTCGACTAAAAAAGCTGAGACGCAGGATATCAGCAAGTTTTGGAAGATTGTGTAAGTTTTATACTTTCCAATAGTGTGGACTATTTAGATATTTAAAATAGTAGTTGCCTTGGTTTTTTAAATTATTTTTTTTGTAAAGTAGATACATTTTAAAGATTTTAAAACAATTTCTTACATCAGTATCATAACTTAAAAAAAAAATGTTAATTATAAATAGTGAAGAAATGTTAATATATAGCTGAGGTTTTCTATTTTGATTAGTTTTACTTTATATTAAACCAGCTTGAGTTATGGGCCTATATATTTTTAATGTTATACTTGTTTGGAAAAATAATTTATAAAATAGTTATTGGTCGAAACAATATTAGTGACATAGCAAATAAATAACTGTATGACTTAAAATCCAACACATTTAAAATAACAGGGTACCATTACCTATTAGTAAAATTATAACAAAATTATATACACAATTAGTCAATATAAATGCACACACTCTTAATAAGAGACTTAGGGGGATATGCACAGTTTTTTTTCTTTTAATACAATTTAAGATCTAAAGCCATTTGAAAACTATTACCATGTTTGGCAAAGTAAGTATTAAACACCAAAAAAGGGTTGAAAACAATTTTGGTTGTCTTGGAAAACCCAAAAAACCTCCACTATTTTGAATTTTTCTGTACAAGGGCTTTTTTATTTATGTACTTATAGCAATCAAATTTAAACTGCTTATCTTTCAGTATATATTAAAACTTTTGTCACAACAACTTTTCAAAATAGGTACTAGTAAGAATTTCACAAGGTTTACAATATTGTACCCTTTTAGTATTCAAAAGTTTCAAAATTTGCATATTAATTACCAAATAATTGAAATACTTTATTTCTATGAAAGCCATCACTATTCCCTTGTGACAAAAGTTGTATTTTTGCATGAAGAACAATTACTGAAAATATGGTGGTTATTGTTTAATAAATAAATAAACCGGGAGTGATCTCCCCTAAACTTTCTTGAATATTCTTATATAACACTACAGGGGAATGGCAACTCGGGATATAAACAATATTTAATTCATTTTTAATTACTTAAACTTTTTAAAATAGAATAGAATCTCATAGAAAAAAGAATTGCACACCAAGTGAACGCCAAACAAAATGTGCATAATAGTAGTGCGGGATATTATTAGTATTTTATAAATTCACATGCGTTTTTTTTGAGAAATTGAAAATAGCGTAAATTACTACTTCCGGTCAATGGAAATTACTCAAAATTTGAAAGAAGGCAGAGAAATATATCTTTTACTTATAGGTGAAATTTCATTTATCTATCTGAAATAGTACTCAAGTTATATGCTTTTGAAAAATCCAAAGTAGAAAAAGTTCCACTTTCTAGTTGATATGGATCTACGATTTTAATATGATACTTATATATGAAATTCCATCAACTTAACTATAACGGTAATCAAGTTATCGTGTTTACAGATACACACACACAGAGACATACGGACAAGATTGCAAAATTATCTTTTTCCGACTCAGGGAGGTGTAAAACGTCTTGGAATCTCAAATTTTTTGTGTGCATGATTACAATACTTTCTCTATACTCTGTATATACAAGAAAGTAAAAAGTAGTAGTCTTTTTAGTGTTAAAAACCTGCGTACTGAGAAAAAAAGGCCAAAAGTACAGAATAGTAGGTCACGAAATTACCATATCTGTGTAAACTGCAAAGCTGATTGTAAGCTTTGGGTGTTTCCGAGATGATGGAAATTAAGATTATCAAATACATGAGAAATCCAGCTTTCCAATGATGCCAAATACAATATGATGATGGATATAAAACTGTTTATAGAGAGCTTGTAAGATTGGGAAAAATTGATTATTTTTTAATTAATAGGGTCATAAAAATGGTATTTTAAACACATAAAAAATATTTTTTCTCATTAAAGTTACTATTTTCTCAATACAAAAATGGACAAAGTATCCAAGAGTGCAAGAAACCCATCATGACGAAAAACTAGAAATTTTGTGATATTTTTTTACGGCGCATATCCCCTTAAATGATTAAATACCTGGATGTTCAATTGTATTTATCTTGTTTTTTAAAGTCATTAGTATTAGTTTTGGTAGAGTGTATACAATCATATTTATCTTGTTTTTTTTTAAAAAGTAATTTGTATTAGCATATGTCTTGATAAGTAGATCTATAGATCTAAATCAAATTTGAATGAAATAGTTCCTTTCTCATATTCTAAAATTGGAAAAAGGGCGCCATTAGTATTGTATATAGTTTAAACATGTTACAGTGACATAATTGTTTTTTGCGTTCTTGTCACAATCATAAACACTTTTCCGGTTACATACAAAATTGAGTTTATACATTCGAATATTCCTTTATTTTTATTTTCCTTCTCTAAATAAAATTTAGTTTATACATTTAAGATACATCCGTATCTTTAAGTTCTCCATATATTGCTGATAAATACAAATGGTAGCTGTAGTGAGGTTAATTCAATTAGTAATAAAACAGATAGTGTTAGGTAACTAACACTATCTGTTTTATTACTCATATATCGCTGAAGATACTGATATCATAGCCTCGGGAAATATGTTGCGGACATAGAGAGAGAAGTACGCACATGGGCGTTTATATATTAGGATCGGGAGAATAGACGCAAATAAACCTTAATTTTTGAACATTTGGATTATTTTTGGCATGATATATTGATTTTTCTAATTGTTTTCTAATGGGCCATTAGTTTTAGCTGCTTACTTCCCTCGTTTACTTCTTCAAATATTAGTATGTAGATAAGATGCATTTCTGTTATTTGAATGAATACCGATTTTATAATTTTTTTTTAATCTTGTTATTATTTTTTTTTCAGCAATAAGTAAAGAGGAAACTATCCATGAAAGTGATAATGAAATTGATGTGTTTCCTGTAAGTATTTCCATTACTAGTTTTTACTGCATCTTAAACTAACTTAGTAACAATATAATGTTGGTTACGTAGTGTTCTATATCACTTATACTGAACCACCATTTTTGCTGAGATGAAAGTGAACGTGGCTATCATTTTAACAATTCAATTTGTATTTTGATATTTAAAATAAAAAATTACTGGTGATAACTCCTTATATTTTATACATAAGCCTGATTGGATGCATCCTAAAATGCATAAGTAAAGTCATTATCATCCCTATCACCACTTAGCTTATTATTGCTGAGAATTGTTTTTTAAAGAATGAATTTTATGAATACAAATTTCCTCTCACAAATATAGTCTGATATGGTATCAAGTAATGGATACTACCCTCAAAAAACAAGATCTGCCCCTGACACACCACCAACAGTAAATGGAAATCATTCTGTCACAAATGGAAGTCATAGTCGGGAATCCAAAACTTCAATAACAACTGGAACTAAACAAGTTGTTATACCAAGAAATCCGGGTACTTATAAGTAGTTTTCAATGTTATGAAATTAATGCCAGTGTTTTTGTATAAAATTTTAAGTCTAAGAGATTTTGCTTTTGAAAATTCTTTGCTGTGGGTTATTTATTTTAAAACATTCTATTTTTTTGCTTTCATTATTATCTGTATATTTTTTTATAGACGGTCGTCATACACCTGTTAAACGGCATCACTCTGCTGGAGACATGCTTGGTGGTGCACCTTTTCCCTCAGTAACAAAGACAGTGATTACTGAAAAGCAGCCTCGTCCAAAATCAGAAGGGCATGTTTATAGTCGCCATTCAATTTACAAAAGATCTGTGAGCTTAAAAAGTTTTTTTTAAAGTTATTAAGTGTTGGTCTTTTATCCTTTCTAAATTACATTTAAAAAAAAATATCATCATAAATGTACATATTTTTTAAATAGATGCACAAAAATGATTATTTCTTTTGACCATTACATATATCACTACATTAATTTTGGAACAATAGAGGTTTTTTTAAAAAGTGTTTGTCTTTAATAGCACAGGTATGTCAAACATAATATTTTTTACTCACCAGAGTCCATCTCCATTTGGTCGAGCAGATTCTTATAGCAAACTTGAGCAGTTGGGTGAAGGATCATATGCCACGGTTTTCAAAGGTCTAAGTAGCCTTACAAATCAAGTAGTGGCTCTTAAAGAAATACGTTTACAAGAAGATGAAGGTGCTCCATTTACAGCAATTAGAGAAGGTATATTAAAAACTAATTGTAATACTATTTTACCTATAGCAGCTATAGCCTTTGGGTTTGTGTAAGGCTAAATATTTTCCAGCTGCTGGAACAAGGAAAATATGACATCACAAGAAGAAAATCTTTTATTAATTAAACAATCTAATTTAACTTAAATCTTTTGTATTACTATGTTAACCTTTTAAATAAAGCGAGAGTGATCTCCCCAAAACTTTCTCGTTTATAAAAGTAGGGGGATGACACTTCCAGGGTTACAGAAATTTCTTTTATTAATTTTTTAATACTAAAATTTTTTAAACAAAACATAATTGCGCACCACATGAATGCAAACTGTGAGTATAATATTGTGGAAAATTTGCACTGTCTAAAAGATGATACCAGTTACTTTTGAATTAAGCATGTTTATTTTACTTCACTCAGTCTCCTTTCATTTTTACTATTACTGTGATGGTTTTTTAAAATTATTAAATTATCCAGTTCATATTAATTATAATTATCTAGTAGTAATCACTAAACATGTGTGAGTAATCCAGATTAAAAAGAAAATACAATTTGCTAGTTTTATTGGTTTTTGTGGAGAAAATTGTGCACACTGTGTTAAAAAAATTACAAAGATATTTAATTTCAAACACAGCACAGAGTGTAACTTTTCCACTTTTTACTTTCTCGTATGTACGAAGTATAGAGAAAGTCTTGTAATCGTGCAAAAAAAAAATCACCTCACTGATACGGAATCTTGCAATCTTGTCCGTATGTCTGTGTGTGTGTCTGTCTGTGTGTGTGTAAACACAATAACTTGAGTACCATTACAGCTAGGTTGATGAAATTTCATATATAAGTATTTTATCAAAATTGTAGATCCGTATCAACTTTTGAGCGATTTCCGATAAGCAGAAGTGGTACTTTTTCTACTTTGAATTTTTCAAAAGCCTATAACTTGAGTACTATTTCAGATAGATAAATGAAATTTCACATGTAAGTAAAAGATCTATATCTCTACCTTCTATCAAATTTTGAGTAATTTCCATTGACCGGAAGTACTAATTTCCGCTATTTCCGATTTCTCAAAAAAACGCATGTAAATTTATAAAGTACCAATAATATTGTACACTGTTATGCACATCTTTATTTGGCGTTCACTTGGTGCGCAATTCTTTTTTCTAGGAGATTTTATTCTATTTTAAAAAGTTTTAGTATTTTTAATTCGAGTTCCCATCCCCTGTTGTTTTATATAAGAATATTTGAGAAAGTTTAGGGGAGATCACTCCCGGTTTATTTTTCCAGAAATTCGCTTCTTCCGCATCAAAAAAATTTTCCTGCTGAAATTATCTGCATAGACTGGAATTTAAAAAAGCAAATTTAAGACTTCAATTTTAAAATTATTCTAACAAATGTTAGTCAATATTGGTTTGGGATGGTGCCATTTGGAGTTTAAAATTTTAGGATTCTCATAAAAAATGTGTTACCCCTGAAGTATAATGTAATTGCCTGAATCTTATCTTTGAATGCTTTTGCATTATATTCAAACAATCCTTTTTTTTTTCAAAGCTTCTCTACTGAAAGGTTTGAGACATGCCAACATAGTCACACTTCATGATATTATACATACAAAAGAGACTTTGACATTTGTTTTTGAATATGTTGTAAGTATAATTATTTTAGTTACAAAATTTTCCCAACAATGCTTTTTTTCTACTGCAAAAAATGTTATGCTACAATCGCTGCCATTAGTAGAATTATACAGAAAATGAATTTTTTTCCGCTTTTCCATGTGCAAAATGACTTATTTAAATGAAAAATTATCAGAAAAGTTTATGTTTAAAAAAAAAAATTAAGAAAAAAGATATTTATTCTTTAATCATTTTTCTTGTTTACTTATTTTATATTGTAACAGCTGTTGAGATAGGAGAATATAATTTTTTATCTTAAAAAAAAACCCCAAACACAAAACCATGGATAAGGAATTTGAGGTTTTTTCATTTATAAAATAGGGAAGAAATCGTGAAAAAATCTATTTTTAGCATTCGTTACAGAAATATTTAAAGTAATGATGAATGTGGTGGGAAAGTATGATCATTTCCTTTCTGTTCTAAACTGATTGTTACAAGATCCTTCATCTTGGTAACATACTGGGCTCACTTACATAGCTGTTTACATAGCAAGCCAGAAAGTCAGAAACAAGCTTCAATTTTGTTTTCATATTTGAATGTGCCTTAGTTTTATTACTATTTTAAACTAAAATTTATTATTTAGTCTTTTTAATTAGCAGATTTCAGAATAGAAATTTTGTAATATATATATCCAGTGGAGTTGGTAAGAAATTTGTTTCTTAAATATTAAACTGCCGCTCCATTTGAATAGATAGATTAAATAGCTGTTCATAATTTATTGTAGCAGCTTCATATTTATAGTTAGAAGAATCACTGCCTAACCACAAGTTGTGTATTTAACATCTGAGTTGTTGAAATTTTTTACTTTAACATAAGCTTTTAGTTACCTCTGTGAGAAGAAAATGACAGTGGTTTTTGTTTGACTAAACTGTATTTGAATTCAAGGTAGAGCTTGTTTGAAAAAAGGTACATTTTCCAAGTAAAATTAAAGATTATTCTATTTTTCTTTAACAGCATACTGACCTAAGCCAGTACCTGGAAAAGCATCCAGGTGGTCTCAATGCTTCCAACGTTAAGGTAAATAAGATAAAACCATATCCTAATATATAAAAGCCCATGTTTACACTTCTCACTCCCTCTGTCAGTCACATTTTGTCCGATGCTATGAGATTAGAATCTTAAGCAATAAGTGTAGACCTTAAAGATACTTACTTTTGTTGAAAAAATGCTTATCATACTGAAAGTATAAACTTTTATTAAAAGACGATAATTAAAATAAAGACATATTTGAATTTAAAAACACTTAAATTGTTAAGTAATGGTATATTTTTAAACATAACAGGAAATAATTTCTTTTACGGAAACATGGCATGCCAGACAGACAGTAGATAATAATAGAGTTGCCCATTGAAAAGTTTCTGTGTTATAATGCATTTTCATGTTTCAGCTATAGCTTTAACTTTAACAATACAGTAATTTGTTATTTCTATTAGGTTCCGTCAATAGTATCAATTTTCAATGGGACATGCTTAGAAGAACTTTCAATTCTAGAATATGAAAAACTTAACGGAGGCGAGCGAGTTGATGAGAATCTTTCCATCATGTTGTTGACATTGAATAAAAACATGCTTTTTTAGATTTAGCAAACAAAGCGACCGTAAAAATAATAAAAAATAAAAACTTAAGCCTAAAATTAAATCAGAAATTTGATATTTTTAGAATCAATGCTATAAAAGTTGCAAATCCTGAGAATTTGAAAATAATTTGTTTTGTTTAAGGCTACATTTCTATTTATTTTCATCAAGCCTAAGTTATAACCGGATGTTTCACTTTCGGTTGACAAATATTGATTGGCTGTACAGGAACTCTGTGATCGATCACTATTTGCTTATAAAACTTTGCAGATAAAGTTTTTAAATAACAATGCAAATTTAAACCCCATGACCTAGTTTTCCTTTTTTCGCTTACAATGTGTACAATAAAATTAATGGCAGCCTAGGCCTATCGAATAGCAGGATGCTATTGCAGACATGCCTCCCGTCCCGCCAAAATCGGAACCGTCCCAATTTTTCACATAAAATAGTAATCTGTTCCGTCATTCCGATTTTGACTCAGTTTGTTCCGGGTTTTTTTTTGAAAAAATAATTAATAAAGAAAGGTAATAAAGTGAATTGAAAAAAGGCAGGGAAAAGCGATTATCTCCCTTTGGCATATGTTTCCGTTTCCTAGTTTACTTACATTACAATATTTACAAGTATCATCTAATACTAGATCTAGCTAGACTAGATCTACATCTACTAATAGTTATAGAAAATGTGGACAATCCTAGCTACAGAACGTTCTTTTTAGTATTTGCATTTGTATTGTAGATTCAAATTATGCCTTAAATAACATGTAGGGAGAAAAATACAATAAAATCATGACTAACATGCTAATTTCTAGATCTAGATAGTAGATCTAGACCAATCTAGTAGTAGTAGATACTGAAATAGTGAATACTGAATACTGATCTATCTTGTAAGTTGTAACTTAACAAGTAACTACTATTATGAAGAACTTAGTAAGAAGTAACTAGGACTTTTACTAGGTAGATAAAAGGTCTTTAGGGGAGGTCTCAGGTTACTGGTTAATTTTTTTTTTTTTTAATGTAAGCTGTATTTAAATGTAGCCTAGAGACTAGTCATATTTATATATGACTAGAAGCCTACTAATGTCAATATTTAGAGTAATTTTTAATTAATTATTTTTATTTTTGACTTAGTAAAGTAGCATCAGCGCGTATGTTCCTCTTTTTGGCTACAAATTCCTCTTTTTAGGCATGACTATTCCTACTTTTGGCTGACAGGGGTAGGCATTTCTGCTATTGTTTATGTCGCCATTAAACGTGAAAACCAAATTGTTTTTGCTTTTTTTAAAAATGTTTATTTAGTTACCGAAAATATTAAAAACATCAAATACATCCAATCTTTAGTAAAGTCCAAAAAAAAAACCAGACAGTATTTTATAACCATATTAATTGTAACTACGCCGTGCATGATTTTAAAATTATTTAATGGGCCTCTTGAATACTTTCTCGCTCGCGTCCATTAGTTGTACGACTAAGAAAATACTTTTGTCTACCAAAAAATAATGAAGATAGTTAAAAAAAAAGCATAAATAAAAAATGGATAACCTGTTTTATCTTACTAAGTTAAGGCTCTAAATCAGTTTGGGCACCTGATAGAGTGTTTTAATATTGGTATTTCTTCTATGATAGCAGCAACGAGCGATGGGTACTCTAGTTTTAGTCATAAAGCGAAAATGCTTGTCATGTTAAAGTTTAAGACATGCATGCAGGTCCTAAACGATGTAGTGTTTCTCTGTATTATTTGTTGCATAAGTCCTAATGTCTGCCCCAATATTTAATCTACTTTTTGATAAATTTAGTAAAAGAATCTTGATGTAATCTAAAATGTATCCATAACAAGTTAGTGTTATGAATAAAATTTGAATAAACTAATGTTCAATCTACTGTGTTTTTTGTTTCGTTTGAAAATTGACATTTTTTTCCAGCTATTTCTATACCAACTTCTTCGTGGGCTGGCATTTTGTCATCAACGTAGAATACTTCATAGGTAAGCTTGTAGAAAATAATATGACTTTAGTTTGTTCATTAAAAATTACCCAAAATTTATCATCATTCTTGTTTTCAAAAGTTGTTAAACATTGTAAACACTCTTTTGCAGAGATCTGAAACCCCAAAACTTATTGATCAGCGAAATTGGAGAACTTAAGCTGGCAGATTTTGGTCAGTCTTTAAGTTTTAAAACTATTTCTGTCTGCTATAAAAAAAAAAAAACTGTACATGGTTTTAATTTTTTTTTTATGTCTAGGATTGGCACGTGCTAAAAGTATTCCCAGCCACACTTATTCTCATGAAGTTGTCACATTGTGGTATCGTCCTCCTGATGTTTTACTTGGTTCTACTGAGTATTCTACGTCATTGGATATGTGGTAGGAATTGTTATATAAAAGCTGTAAAAACTATTTTGTTTTTAAAATCTGATGAGTTAATCAGCTGGCTTCTCATGTATAGTATTTATATATATTTAATTTACCATTTTCTTTCTTAATAAGAAAGTATTAATTGATGGGGCTTGGAAACGTAGTACTAATTGTTTTTAAAACTTGAATATCAAGTAACTATGTTTTTACAATATCTAAATACTTATGTATGAAAACTTTATAATACATTTTTCAAATATACTAAAAATAATAACTAAACATGAGTTTTCCCAAAAGCTCTAGAAATCTTTACATTTAAGTAAATGGCACTTTTGGGTTCATAGCTTTCAAGAAAGTATATATTTATTTTCATATTTTTAGTATACTTTCTTCCTCATGGTTCTTAATTGTAATATTGAAGGGATTTCCTCTTACATAGTTTAACATTACATGTCAACATGTTATGCGACATGGCTCGATTACTCCAATTTTTGCCTGCTTCTTTCTCTGGATTTGATTACATAGCTCTTATCTCTCATTTGGGCAGCTACCCCATCTAGAAAGTCTTGTAGGGACTTCTGTAGTTAGAAATCATGTGCACTAATGCCGGCTTTTATAAACAACCAAACAACTATGTCATGTACAAGAAAGGGTCTACACATTTAAAACTCCATTTGACTTTTTAACCAAAAAATTCTTCGGTTACAAATAGTTTTAACATTCCTCAGGGGAGTTGGCTGTATTTTTACAGAGATGATTTCTGGTCAAGCTACTTTTCCTGGAATGAAGGATGCTTTTGATCAGCTGAACCAAATTTTCAAAATTTTAGGTACCCCTACAGAACATACATGGGATGGTGTAACCAAGTTTATCAATTATGACTTAAGTATGTTTTCAAGTATTTCATGGACCTACAATGTTTACTACTTGTGTAATTTTATTGTATTGTTAAGAAATTCCCAGCATAAAAACAATAAAAATGTAGGTGTGCTACTTTTGCGGGATATTCCAGATTAAAAAATTTTACTTTTTAAAAATTTTCAGATGTGCACAATTTGATTTTTAAAATATTTAGGTTTGCAGTTTTAAAAAATCAACACCATTTAAACTTTAGTCATTCTAGAAATCATATTTTGCATCAAAACTTCAGAGCAATTATACTGCTTAGGGCTCTTTCTACGATTGACACATGTGCAGAAGGTTCATCATTTATTGCATGCTACTTTGTTCTCTTAGCTGACACTGATGCTTGAATTTAAGTTCTGTTTTTGTCAGCATTAGTTATGCAGATTGTTCTTTATTTAGCATGCTAGTTATGAAGAAACTCTTTTTTTTTAAAGTTTTTATGAACTCCAGTAACATTTGTAGAGTATTGTTTGCACATGGTATTTTTATACTGTTTTTTCTTAAGAAGGTTTGACCTTTGATTTGTTATAGAAAAACTAGAGAAACATCCTGGCCAAACCTTAGCTTGCTGTGTTCCTAAACTTTCATATGTACCTCATGCTGAAGAGTTGGCAGACCAGTTTTTGCAGGTATAAAAAACCAGCATAATTTTTGCATCTTCTTGGATTTCTTTTTAAATGAACAAGTTATGAGACTAGTATAAAAACTAAGTGACTAGTATAAAAACTAAGTGTAAACTGTTCTATCCTCCTCTATAGAGCTGTCATTGTCTACATTGTCCCATCCTCCTCTATAGAGCTGTCATTGTCTACATTGTCCCATCCTCCTCTATAGAGCTGTCATTGTCTAAATTGTCCCATCTGAACTTAGGGATCATTTTAAAGCAATGGTAATACATTTTATAAGCATTGTGTCTGGGGTTTTAAAAATTGTGTCATCAAATGCAATCATTTTTTAGATGCAACCCCACCTGAGAATATCAGCAGCTGCAGCTAAAAGACATGTATATTTTCAGGATTTGCCACCTAGGATACATGAATTGTCTGATGGTTTGTCATAAATAATAAAAAAAAACAAGTTTGATTTTAGACAAAAAAGATCACTCAAATAATAATTGTAATAAAGAATAATTAAAATTAAGACCAAAGAAAAATATCAAATAACTTAAAAGAAAAATGCCAATTATTGTTTTTAGGGACTTCAATTTTTAACATTCCTGGCCTTCGCTTGTTTCCTGAAACTGGGGACATAACAAGCACTCAGAGACGCCAGTCTTCTCGCAGTGGAATTAGGACAACTCTCAAAATGTGATGGACTACAAGCTTTCTGTAAGTAAAATAAGACTACAACTGCTGCTTTGAGTTATAATCCCTCTCCTATTGACTCTTCCGTTGCATGGCTATACTAGTTGGTATACTTTAGTGATTCTATAATGTGTACAAAAAGATTTTTTATTGAAGCTTGTTTCTTTCAGGGTTAAAACTGATCCATGATGGTAGCAATCTCAGTGCCTGTAGTGGTGATCACTTATCAAGAGAAATTTGTGACAAGTTTTTTTGGATTTTATTTATTTAATTTCAAGTTGACTAGGATTGACAAAGCAAACATTTATCCAATTGACGAGGCATAAACCAAAAGATCTCGTATTCTTTTACCTCCACATCATGAGTTGAGGGATGATTAATAGTTCAGTACTTGTGTTTATCAGTTTGTGGCAGAGGTGTTGAACAAATAAATAGGCCAATACAAGTGTGTTGTTAAAGAAAGGACTGACTACACCCATTAAAGCATCTTTAAGTTCACCATTGGAACTTCTGTTTATTCTTTCTGTAAATGCAGGCTACTGATGAGTTGGATCAACAGAACACATGTAGGCTACTGATGAGTTGGATCAACAGAACACATGTAGGCTACTGATGAGTTGGATCAACAGAACACATGTAGGCTACTGATGAGTTGGATCAACAGAACACATGTAGGCTACTGATGAGTTGGATCAACAGAACACATGTAGGCTACTGATGAGTTGGATCAACAGAACACATGTAGGCTACTGATGAGTTGGATCAACAGAACACATGTAGGCTACTGATGAGTTGGATCAACAGAACACATGTAGGCTACTGATGAGTTGGATCAACAGAACACATGTAGGCTACTGATGAGTTGGATCAACAGAACACATGTAGGCTACTGATGAGTTGGATCAACAGAACACATGTAGGCTACTGATGAGTTGGATCAACAGAACACATGTAGGCTACTGATGAGTTGGATCAACAGAACACATGTAGGCTACTGATGAGTTGGATCAACAGAACACATGTAGGCTACTGATGAGTTGGATCAACACAACACATGTAGGCTACTGATGAGTTGGATCAGTTGAATGTCTTACTACTGAGTAGAAACATTCCAGCAAATAGATTATGGCTGATCACTCGGTAAAATTCAGCTGAAGTATTATACTAGTCTAAATTTGTTAAGATGCTAATAATTAATCTTTTGACAAGATTGATTTAGTCTAGCATAATGCTTTTAAGTAGTAGAAAAAAAAAGGAAAAATTGACTGAACTATTACCATGGTTATCATTGGGTATGATTCTCAGAATGTGTGAAAATTATTTATGGTCATTTTCTAAGTGATTTTTTTTTTTGGCAATTTAAAAAAAAAAAAAAAATCTAAGTCTTGTTTTAAAATTTGTAATTTTATTTTCTAAGATTGATCAATCAGATACACCTTTATGAATGCTTTTAAAAATCTGATGAATGTAAGTAAATAGATTTGTAAAAAGGTTTCTTTAAAGTATATTAACTATTGTAAGATGATCTGTTAAAAGAAATTATTACATCTAAAATTCATCATTTTCACTTCAAGTGGAAGAGGAAGTCTAAATTTAAATGACTTCTTGCATACTTTGTCCATTTTTCTGCAAACCCCACCCTATTTCATGAGCATGCACAAAGTATTGTTACGCATGTGCATAATCACAACACTGAATAGAAAATCTTGCTGTTTATTACTGTGTTTGCCTGGTGCAATACTTAGTAGATGGAGGGTTGAATTCTACTGAAAGTGGAGTTGTCATCTTCTTACGCTACAGCTCCCAGTTTTATTATATTGAAATTTTAAATGGTGATAATGAATTTTATGTTCGTAACTACTTAACCCATTTTAAAAATGTTTAAACATGCTTAACTAGGTTGAAAAACTTGGTGTTGTATTCAAAAGCTCCCAGCTATTGTACTAATACTTAAAAAACTAATTTAGTATATGATGTAGGAAAGTTTGATGTCACTCCAAATATTTCAAATAGTTGTGTCTATTTATTTTCCAAATGCCACAAATGGTGTTAGTAGTCTATTGATATTGTTTTTCAAATCAAGTGGACTCATAACCATCATGTAGAACAAAATGTACCACATTACTATAAATGTGTATATGATAATCAGTGTGTTAAATGTGTTCTACTCATAGTTAACTTTAAATTAAATTACTCAATTCAACTGAAAATTAAATCTAAGATCATATTTTTCACTTTTATGTAATATTTTAGTTTTGGCAACCAAGGAGAAAATAAATGAAAAATAAAGGTGTTTAGAAATAATGGGTTAGCACATAATTATAACTTTTTTTTTTTAAATGTTGAATCACATTAAATGAAATCTTATTGAAAAATGTTAAACAAATGAACAAAATGCATTTTAACCTATGAAAATCCAGTAGGCTATCCAAATACTTACCTATGTAGAGTTGGGTGCATACATACTATCTAGCTGCAATTGAAAAGGGCAGAAATCAGTGGGTTCTTGCAATACAATCTGTTCAGGACCAACATTATTTATTGCATTTAAATTCATTTATTGGTTTTAATTAATCCCTTAAGCAAATTTTAAAAAACTCAAAGCAAAAACAATGAATTAGCCTTACACCAAACCATTGCAAAACATTCTTAGCATGCCCACAGGCTGATGAACAACTACATGCTTAAGATACTAACCACAACACCAAAAGTAAAAAAAAAAAAACAACACAGGGCACTTAGCATTGCCTGAACAGAGCAGTGGAAGCCATTTGTTGTTGACATGAACTCATGTGAGGAGGCATTTAAAATGTGTCAGGCTTATGTTTTTCGAGACCCACTCAATCTTGCCAATATTTTAATTGCAGTATCTCTAATGTATTTAGCCTCTTTATTCTGATTTTGTAAATAGTAACAGTCAATTAAAATAACTTATGAATAGAACAGAAGTTTGGAAAGATTATAATGCTTTCCACTAAAAACTAAAAATGGTTGTCATTTACAGATCATTCTTGTATGAGGTGTACATTTTTTTGTATTTTAATATGTAAAAATTGTTTATATATGTATGAGTGTGTAGATGAATTGTATCAATACTCAACTATTTTGTGTATATTTTGTCTAATTGCATTTCCTTTATTTGACTTCAAAATGTGTGTTAAATCCATTCATTAAAGTTCTTGTACATAGCTATAAATTGAAAAAAATTGGTAGGTGTTGTTCTTTCATTGCATTTATCATTTAAAATTTTAATATCATTATCTGTCTTACATTTTATATGGGAAAAAAACAATTTAGTTTTTGTACAAAATATGTTTCTTCTATGTAAATGTACATTTTTGTTATACACAATGTAGTTTCTTACTAGCACAAATGTACAAACTAAACAATTTATAAAAGGATTAAAGTTTTTTTTTTTTAATAATAAAATGTATTATCATTTTAGAATTGTAATAATTGTATTTAGATAGCTGATAGTCTAAGTTTCTGTTATAATTTTTTTAAAAGTGAAACATTCATGTTCCGTGTTAAATGCAACACATAGAAAGACTATTTGCCATCAAATTCAAAGGAAAATTTTTCCTTAAAAAAGATTTAACCTGACCAAGGAACTATGACCATAAGAGTGTAACTTTGCTTCTTTAAAAATAAAAACTGCAACAAATTAAAAAAGTGGTCCATAAATTCTATCACAGGCAAAAAGCTATAAATGATACATTTTTAAAATAAACTACTTTTTGGTAAAAAAAAAACCCCAGTAACTATTATTTTATATATTTATATAAAGACAAAAAGTTTATGAATGTAATTACACTCCGCTCATTATTTGATAGGGAAATTTAAGCAAAAACCAGCTGCACCTCGCAAGCATTATGATTTTAAAATTTACAGTGTAGATCCTTACTATTATTTGTGTATCTCAATTCTAATGTAAGAATTATTTTTAAATTAAAAAAAAAATTTAGTGTAGAATGCCTATCTAAAAAGTTTCAATAGCTGACATAAATTATTGCTCAATATATGTTGAATAAAATTCTTTATATTTTAGGCTTTTACTGATTGTTCTAAAAAGTATAAATTATGTAATTTTTTAAAATCATTTTTGTTGTTTTAAATAGGATTTATAATTTTTAAAGGAAAATTATTTTTAGTTTGTGTTAACAGCAAAACAGAGACACTTAAAATAGTTAAGTATATATAATCTTTAAATTTTCATACAAGTGAACTTTTATTTTAACAAGCAATTTTTACTATCCATGGACTTTTTTGAACATTGCATGCATCACATAATTATAATAAAACTCCTTAAAAGTTTGAGAGAGAACAGATTATTAAAATAAAGAGCATTTTCACCCAAGTAATGACAGTTACATATAAAGCAACTTGGATTCCATTACCAGTGTTCTTTCTTGGAATATTTAATTTTGATGTTTTGTAGATTTCATTTGTTTTAAAAATCCTGATTTATGACAAGAAAAGCAATAATTTGAAAGGTTTTTAACAACTATTATCATGCACACTGAAGTTAATTAATAAAATATGTCATCTTAAACACACCAATTTTTTAAGAGAAATGCCCTAAAAATCTTTGAAATGAATACATTTTAAAAATTCTTTGAAATTTCAGTCTTTACTTAAAATCCTTATTGACTTACAGAAAGTTAATAATGTGCTTTTAAAATCATTTTCGAAAATTATTGCTCATGAATTATTAAACTTTTTAATTACAGTTATTTTATAATGAATCCTAGACTAGTTCTATCTGAATTCTTGTTTTTGGTTCAGAAGCTACTACATCAAATAACAGTTTTGTTCATAAAGATGAAAAACACTTTCTTTTGTTAAGTTAAATGGACCATAAATTAAACCCTAAAAATACAATATAATGCAACAAAAACTGTTAAGTGTTGGTTGTATACTTGCACAGTAATTCCCTTAACAGTTATTTATTCAAAATACATGGAAATTTGAATAACTTAATAGTGGGTCTATTAAGGAATACAATTTTCTTTTTAATTGCTAAGATAGTTTCACCTGAAAATGTAATTATTACTGAGATTACAATTACATACATGTACTGTCTCATAAGTTGTTAACGTTGTTTTTAAAATATATGAACTATTAAAACTAGTGAAGTGCGAGTTGTTTTTCCTCTCATTAGTAGATGGCAACCGTCTTTTAATGCAAGGACATCATTTCCATCAAGAAAATGCCAAGTTTAAGTAACACTTTGCATTCATTTAGTTAAGTTATTTTTATAACTAAAATTAATTTGAAAAAATAATGTTTGTTCTTTTAAACTGAAGCCATCATGTTCTACTGAATATAGACTAGTTATGGGTGTAAATAATATATAAAGAAGTGGATCTTTTTCTTTCTTTTTGGATACTTGTGTTTTCAGATTTATGACTTAAATATTGCTTTCAATTAATTCAATAAAGTTGTAAAAAATAAAATTTTAAGTGCATTTTCTTTATAATGTCATCTCATCTGAGAATTTGCAGGTGCCTTGAAACAAATTTTAATTGTGACACATGTATTGTTTGAACAGGCAGCTTGCATTGGCGAGAAGTATTTTTATAATTTTATTGGAAGAGAAGATTAATTAAAACAGAAACTGTTTTAAATTTAGTGCAACTATATATTGCAAGAAAAAGTTTTTGTTTCAAAAAAAGATAGTTTTATGGTTTGTGAGTTTTGTTTCCACTGCTTTTAATCAATAATTATTGTAGTGACAGTTATAATAAAATTTGTCAAAATCAAAACCTATAAATGCAATACTATTCAAATACATGAAACAAATGTCTGAGGTTGTGCTTATTGTCTTGAAATTCACTGGAGAAGGTTAAAAATATTTTAACTATAGTATATGTGCAATGAATTAATATTTATTCCATTATTCATTTGCTTTTTTTATGTTGCTGCTTAATTGGATGATGTGGTTTTGTCCTACATGTGCATGACATTTTGCCTAATAAAATTCATTTAGAAAACATGTGTACCCTGTTCATTTTTGGTGGAACAATTTAATTTAAAAACTTTTTTTTAACATACCAATTTTGCAGAGGACATTTGACGCAGCCAAGTATACCATAACTTATTTTCCACACAAAATAAAAAATATAAAAGTATTCTAGTAATCTGTAATTTGAAAAGCTGAAAGAAAATCCTCTGTACTTAGTTAAACACGATCCTTGAGGACTCCTTTGGCAATCAATGTATCAGAAAATGTTTAACCAAATTTTGATAGTGGCACATAGGCCCATCTGATTACACATTAGTTAAAAGAAAAAGTAACAAAAGTTGTAAAAGCTATATTTTATTACAATGTTGGTTTCACTAAAGATTATTAGCACATGATAACCTTGAAATGGTACAAGAGTAACTGGGGAAATACAAAGCCACTTAGATTTATTTATCTTAAACAATTAATTTGAACAAAAAATATTCACAAATGGTTTAATAATAGATCAGTGGTTCAATAATGGTTGCTTAAGATCCACATTCATCCAAAGAAAGAAAGAAAGAAAATTGTGGGCAGATTTAAAATAAATACCTGATACAATACAGCTATAAGTACAGAACAATAAATAGTGTTTATTAATGAAGTTACCATTAATTTATCATGAATATTAAAATGTTGGATTTCCAGGTACATCTTAGTTAAACATACTACTGTATTTTGACACACTTTATTATTGTTTTTTGCTTACAGTATGAAGCTAAAAGATTTTACTAATTTAAAGTTCAAAATACTTATAGTGTGCAAACAAATGAGTATTACATTTTATTGATATGGCTGGCAATGATTCCTCTGTATCAATATAGAAACAATATTATTTAACTTAATATACTGACAAGAACATTAAAACCTAATTTCTAAAGTAATCTTGTGTATTTTACCTAAAGACCTGTGTCTTTAACAAACCTTAACAGTAACAGCTTAATGAAAGTCACCAAAACAATTATGCGGATAGTTATAGCAAAAATTCAAGCAAAGTTATGAATAGTTTTCATTGTTTTGGTGATGTTGTCATTGTTTACTCTTGAATAGTGTAAGTTAAATATTGTTTAAAAAATTGCACAAAAAAGTTTTAATAACAAGCTTTTATGTAATAATGCACTATAAAGAAAATAAATGATTTTCTTTAAATATACAATAATACACTACTATTTAAATAACTAAAAAGAAAAGCATGGATCACTTTATTATCTTTTGGATACCTTACTAATATTTAGGAAGAGACCTATGCCTTTCTTTATAGTTAGTTAAATAATAGTGTATTATTTTATATTTGAAGAAAATCATTTATTTTCTCCTTTTTAGTGCATTACTACATAAAAAGCTTGTTATTGAAACATTTTATAAGCATTTTTTTCAGTACTTTAAAATTTTCAATCTTTCATGACTAAACACCAAATCAACATAATGTCGTATAATAGTGTGCAATAATAGAAGGACACCCTACTAATTTGAGAAAATTTTAGTTAATTCATAAAATATTAATTAGCCATCCAATTAAGTCAAATTTTATGTCAGATTGCAGTGTTGCTGGGTCTTGACCCATGTGCAGAGAAATTGGTCAGTAAGAAGTGCTTGAAATTTTGTTCAGCTGTTTTGATCTAGACATGACGAGGAAGCAAGTTAAATAAAAGCTTGTAAAAAGAATCCATACTTAGTTAACATCTATTATAATAGATATTATAATTGCATTCAAAGTGATAAATTGTGAAGGATTATAATTATCCCTGAATAGAAAAAGCAACTGCTACATAACTTAGTTATAATGGCAACAGTAGTTTACACTTTTTAATTTTTTTTAATCATAAAGTGGTCACGGGGGGGGGGGGGGGGGGCTGCAGGTAGTCAATATTTGGGAGTGACACCAAATTGAAAAGTGTCATAAATAAAATTTATTGTCAAAACATTTTATCCAGTTAAACTAATAAAATAGAGCAATGTCAGCAGACCAAAATTACAAAATTATAGGAGGGAGATGGGGTGACACCCTCAGTTATCACATCACTGGTATTACAAAGTAAAAATTAAAATAGTTGTCTCAGTTTCAACAAAGTTTTAAGGAATTTCAGCAGATTAAAAAAAAGAAACAGCTACTTACAGTCAGTCTAAAATGAAACCAAATGTTTAACCAATATGTTTTGGAAACCAATTGATATTTTTATTTTATTTTCCACATTGTAAGCATACAATACAGTAGAACCTCCAAATAAAATAAACAATACATAATTATAATACAATTATGTTATGTATACTGTTTGCATGGTATAACAATTTTTATTTAACAGATTAAACGAAATGCAAATAAAACATTAAAAGAAAGAATATATCATTTAATTATTGGAATTAAAAAAAAAATTAACTAATGGCAGAATTTAAAATGTTATAGTTTATGACATATGTTCTTTTACTGAAACCTTATCTGAATAAAATAACTATAAATCAAGTGGGGTAATGAATCAACTATGGAATATAAACTTTAATCAATAATGAAAAGTTTCACATATTAAACATTGTTTTAAATATTTTGAACATAAACATTTGAATTAATTCATATATCTTTCTATAATCAGTTGTCACATTTAATATATGCTAAGTTAAACTATTTTTTTGTAACCAAACAGCATCTAGTTCCCCAACCTAAAAAGATGCTGTAGTACATCTTCCCCATCAATAACTAATAAACCATAAGCATATTCATTGACAAAGCTTTTTTGAGTTTCATGAGAAAATGTATTTAAAACCTTCAATTACAAGTGCTGTGTAAAGGATCATGCTAGATATTAAAGCCATACTAAGGCAGCATAATACATTTTTAAGTTTTCTATAAATGCTTGTTTTTCAAATACAATTACCTCTTTCTAAAAACAAGTAACAGAAAATCCTGTTATCTGTTTTTGTACAAACTTTTCATTATTTCATTAAATAACCCACAAAAAAAAAAAAACTCCAACTATTTAACAAAGTAATCTGGAATGTTGCAAGAAAAATGTTAACCTATACATTTGTTTTTAATACAACTGATTTTTATAATCCCTCACAACCAATGCTGGTGAGTGATAAAATGGTGGTGGGCTAAAGCAACATTTTTTCTCCAAAAGGTTTAGGTAAAATATTTTAGATCCTACTATCAGTATCAATTGGAGGTTCTACTGTAAAAGAAAAAGTTCCGTGGTACACAATATACATAAAATGCATAAATGTTTTCTTCTTCTAATGGGAAAGGGGGGGGGGGGGGGAAATAAACAGACGCAATGAAACCAGCACAGCCTGATTGTATTGGAAGTAAAATTAAATGTGAACACAATTTTGAAAAATAACACTTATTGGTTTTCAAGAGTGCACTTAAACAAATAAAATGCATGAGTATTATAAGTGGTATAGAGGGGATCAAAATAAAAGCAAAAAAAAAACTAATAAAAATAGCTTAATTAGCATAAAGAAGTTGAAATTATTATAAAATAACACAATGTATTTATTATATGTAGGAAACAGAAATGGACAAAAGTACAATTTAATCTAAGTAAAAAATAATTTTTTTATTGTACTTGTGATATTATTTAGCTGACTATTTAAATCACTTAAATAACAACTGATGGTTGTTCTTGAAAAAATGTTGAATCAGGAGATTTGAGATTCAAGAATTTAAAATATTAAATTGTATGATTTAAAGATGAAGCAGAAAAATATTAGCTCGAGGGATAGAATTGTCATCAGATGATTAACCAACCTTTTGTTATCTAAGACACAATTAAGCTTAAGCAAAGTGTTTGCTAATGGTCAATGATATTTTCAAATATACATCAAATTGTCAAATACCTTAACTTGCAGACCATAGACATTTCTACTGCTTCAGATAATGACTATATATATAAATCACATGGATCATGTTATTTATTTAGAAAACAATATACTTAAGTGTGCAAAATCTTTGATTCCCATAATTTTCGGCTTTTTATTTTTGTAACAATATCGTGGTTACTAAATACTCAACCAATATTTTCATTTTAAATATAACATAATATAATATCAAATGTTTACAAATGCATTGTAATAAATTAGTATAATTTCCTTAAATAATCCAATTTTGATAAAACTAAAAATCTTGTTCAAAATATTCAGACAAGAATTTTTTTTGTCATTAATGAATGGCAACAAAGTGATAAAATATTATTGTTATGAAAACCTTACAAATGTGTAAAGCTCAATCTTTAAATAAAACTAAATGATATAGTCTATTTTTTAAAAGTATAAATATTTAATAATCAGACCATTTAGAATTTGAGGCAAGAGTGAGTAATACCATTTAATTTTGCCTAAAGCTAGATTACAAAACACTTAGGACAAGGTATGCTAGTTAATTTTAAAATATTAATGATTACGCCAGTTTGAAGGATTAAAGGAACCTGTATACAACAACTAACATACTTTATTAATATGAATCAGCAAAAACATTGAATTTATAATAAAAATTGATGTGAGATTTCTTACTGGCGGAGATGTTAACTTTTTGTGTTTTTTACAAAAGTACTTTTTAAAATAAAAAGGTTCACTTTTTTACATGTCATTAAATTATTGTTTAGAAAAAATAAGTGGACAGGTGACTGTAATAAAAAAAACAAGATAGCTACCTGGCTGGGAAAAAAAAACAATGTAATTCTTGTATTCATATTTTAAGTTTGATTTAAAGGGAACACCCATGGATGAATTCTAAAACAGTTTTTTTAGAGTGCAGCTTTTTAAGAATGAAAAAAAAAAACTCAGAGAAATTTTGCTTTACTACAGGAGAAAAAATTCAACTTTTTACTGGATTAGTGGACATACCAAATACAAAAGTAATATAATACTGTGGAATATGGGTGCTCTAGACAATAAAAAAGAGACTAGTAAAATCACAATTAATTACAATCTAATCAGGTAATATCAATTAGCCTGTCTTGTCAAAGCTAGAGTAAGGTTTAGCTACAGTGTTATTTCTATACAGTCCTTCACCTTGACCACTGGACCTTCGTCCTTCTTGCCCTCCACTTCCAGAGAGGGACTCTGAATCACTTGAACGTAGTTCATACCTTTGACTTGGTGTCCATCTGGTAACCTGATTGCCAACACTTGGTGTGGGTGAACAACGGTAATCAATATTGTACTAGAAAGAATTTAAAAAGTCAATTTGCAGGATAAATACAGCAGTTTTAATTAACAATTATCAAACTTGGAACAATGGCTTATAACCGAATGGAAAATTATGTTTGTGTTATATAGCTAGTGTCAGCAAAGTTTAATAAATTAAATGAGAATTCTCGTCGCATTTCTGTTTAATAGATAAGATAATCCTGCAAATAAATTCACCTTTTTAAACTATTGGCAATATAAAATAGAAAATGGATTGTTGGAAAGTTTCTTGACTTTTTGTGTACAAATTTTGTCATCTGTGAAGAATTGGAGGCCAATTTCCCTCAAACAGTAAAAGCAAATTTTTGTAAGTAAGCAGAAAAATTACATCTCTAAATAAAGTAATGCTCGCTTATTGAACCTGATGGTCCATGGGGAAAGTGAAGTAGAGTTCAATTGTTTCTGTGCCCTCACATATGAAGGGATAGTGTAGTCAGCACTAAGGTTAGCCACCTTTGCTTTCCCTCACTAAAGTTAGGTACCCATCAGAGCTGGGTGGACTCAGGGATGTTCTAATGACTGAACCCGGATTGAACTTAGCCTTTTGGGTTAGCAGTCTAAAGCTCTACTGGTGGGCCATGCAGTCCCACATTAACAAATGCACAAGTGAATCTTACTTTTGTAGCACATATAAAACATGTTGTCACCACTTTTGCAACTATGTTCATTAAATTCTTGGTTTCTTGTATTGCACTGTCCACCTGAAATAAAAATACAATTTGATTTACTGAAAAACTTTAAGCAATAATTTTAAAAACTTTTTATAAGACACGAGACTAACTTTATTAAATGTTGCTGTTTTCCCAAATGTTGTTGATTTTAAAGTTGTTACCAACTGATGACAAGACACAGGAATTCTGTCTAAGTAGACTAAAAGTTCATCTTTTTGTGGGCAAGGTGGAACCTGGTAAATTGGTTATGAAAGAGAAAAAAATATAAATGATCTATAATTGAATGAAATGAAAGAATGCTGATATTTCAAGATGAAATGATAAATTTATAATGTAACAAAAGGATTTTTATATTATAATTGTTCTACTACTTACTCTTTGTGCAAAGTGTTGTATAGTGGAATAGAGTTTATTTCCTTCTTGTGCAAAAAACTGAGCTTGAACAAAAAGATCATGTGTAGTTCTTAAGGGACCTTCTCCCCTTGTAAATAGGTACATACTAAATGCCATACTTGACATGTTTTTAGCTCTTTTTACAACTGCATTGTCAGGCTCTTCCCATTTATCTGCTTCTGCTTCAGTTTCAGATGTAATTAGCTTCATCTCTAATCCCAGTTTAGCAATTTTAGCTTGCTCCTGAGAAATACCAACAGTATGATGGTGAAAAATCAAGCTTACAAGAAATTGGTAAATACACTTTTGTGTTAAAAAAAAGTTTTTAATGGGAAAAATTGTTGTAAAGTGCAAAAGAATGAGTTCAGTTATAAACAAACTTACTATTTAAAACATAGGAAAACTAACACCTCAAAGCATTCAGAATTAATATTCTAGATTCCAAATTTTGGAATTTCCATTATTTTGTGACGTTGTGTGATGAGGGGGAGGGGGGGGGGGGGGTTCCAGATGATGTGATGTCACTTTTTTGCATTATAAAAAGCAATGGTAGAAAACAAGTTTTAGTCGTTATTTCGTGTTTTAGAAACGGTTTTAATAAATTGTAATAGGAATTGATCAAAATACTCTATGACTCTATGTTGACTGAGTTCTGACAAGATTTTGGAAAAATATCAATGTTTTAAGAAAAATTCAGCAGCAATTTTGAGGGGAGTTGTAGGTTGAGGTGTGATGTCATTTTAGGGGAGGGGGGGGGGGGGGGGGGGAAAGCGGGCTGGTTTTTAGTGATGACATATGACGGAGGGGAGGTAAAAATCGTCCAAAAAATGTGACGTCATTTATGGATGACCCTTAAGATCAATTGACTATTAACTTTTATTTTTAACACTGTTCTAAAAATAAGTTAAAAAGATTATACAGTTCTAAGCGTTAATGAGATATCTAAAAAAAATATATAGTAACGGTTTCGACACAAAATTTTCTACAGTAAAATTGATTGGAATAATTAATCCTTGTAAAACTTGAAAGTAGTTGTTTAACGAGATTCAAACAAAATTGGAATTGGAGATTGTAAAGTGTAGTATAGGGCTTTGATTTTTTTCAATTATTGTTAATTAACTAAACTCTTGCTATCTAGAATATTAATAAAACCTTTGCTTAATTTAATTTCAAAGTATTTGGTTATAAAAATGTAACTTGTCTCTAAAACGTCACGATTCCTGCTACATTTTTATAAAATATGTATTTTGTCATATTAAGTTGGTTGTGGTTTTATGTGAGTGTGGGGATTGTGGCCTATAGAGATGTTATGTAATGTTACACAATGGGTTATGATTTGCTTAAAACAGGGAGTATGATATTACTACCCTTCTGTTAATTACCCCCCCCCCCCCCCCCCGGTCATTTTCCCAACATTTTCTATACATAAACACAGACAGGATTGAGTCAGTGAGGTCTATGGATACATACAGAGAGGATTGATTCAGTCAGGTCTATGGACACATACAGAGAGGATTGTGTCAGTGAGGTCTATGGAACAGAGAGGATTGAGCTAGTGAAGTCTATATTAAGCATATACCTCAGCATCCAATTTTGCTGGCCTTAAAGATCTAGATGTTGTTCCATGTTTCTGAAAAACAGTTTAAAATCAATAAAGTTAAAAAAAACTGTATAGCAAGTTGTATATGTTTTCAGCAATTTTAAAAATTTGTGACATTTTGTCATTTTCACAAAAAATCAAACATAAATTTGTATTCTAAAACAATAGCAAAATAATTAGCTTCATGTTCAATCTAGTATTTAAACAGTCAACTTGAAACAGTTTAAAATTATATTAAATTATTTAGTTAAGATTTCGCATACAGTATATCAAAGGCCATGCTTATGCAACTGGATGCACCAGGAAATGTATTATACATGATTTTAAGGATTTATTAAAAAGATAGAATTCTTAAAGCATGATGTTCAATGGTGCATCTAAATAAATTATCCATACAATTTCATGTAGTTGAACAAATATAAAAATAATGCTTACAAATTTTTTTCAAAGACATTATTAATTATTAGTAAAAAATGTTTTTAACAGAAATAAAAATTCCAAATTTTTTCAAACGATTCACTTATTTTAAGTTTTTTAAATGTTTCAACAACTGAAACATGTTTAAAAACAATTAGATCTTGTAGCCAAATTTTAGTTGTTTTTTTTAGAAAATGACTATCAGCTGAAAAATGTGGATTTTTGTTTTCAAAGGACAATTTTCCTTTAATTGAAAAAGTGAAGTCAAGTAAAAAAAAGTCATGAAATGTTACATCTCTGCTAGAGATAATTTTATAAAGAGCCATTCTGAAATAGTGATATAGGACTACATATTGCACAGCCTTGCAGCCTAAATTTCCCCCAATCCATATATTTACTAATAACCAAACAGCCAAACCACTACAAATGATATTAAAACATTTGGTCTACAGCACCCCACCTTTCCCCCATAAGAAGCCATAGACTAACTAACAATCCCCCTTTCCCGCCACTGAATTACAAAGTAAATGAGAGTGAATGGGACGCTTCTGTGAATTTGCAAAAAAACATCGATCCAGCTTGGGTGGGGAAAAGATTTTGGGGTAAACCCACTTCTGACTTTATCTAGACTTTTTAATATATGAAATTCATGTTCTAGATTCCAGACTTTTCTTGAACTCTGGTCTTGGCACTTAGAGATTTTACTAAAATTGGTCTTCAAATAAATCTGCCTTTTAATTTTTGTCAAAACTGAAAACATAGGTTAAAAAAAGATTTCCAATGTTTTCTAAAAAATTAAGTAGGGTGGATTTCTGTAAAAAAAAAGAGGAAAAGGTTACATCTTTGTATTGAAACATGCACAGATTTTGTAAGTTATCTGAAAAATTTCAAGAAATGTTTTTGAATTATTTTAATTTAAAAAAAGACCACTACAGTAAAAATAATATTGTAGAGAATTTTTAAAGCTTAAGTCAGTTATCAAAAATATAAGTTTCACTGCAAGTAAAAGAGTGGTTTAAGTCACTGATGTTTATATGATTTTGAATATTATAAAAGATTTTGTTCAGTTCTCACCATTTAAATATTTTGGCAAAATACTTTTCAGAGTTAGCTATAAGAATTGAGCTTACTAAAATATAAAGTTACACATGACGTTGATGTAGGTGAAAAATGTCATTTTAATGCTACATTATTGCATAATTTTTAAAAAAAAGGCCCATCAAATAAGTTTAGATTCCCGTAAAAATTTTGCTTAAAATGTAGAAATAGCATCATAATTTTAAAGCAAAATAATTTTCTTTGTTTAAAAATATAGATGACAACTATCATGTAAAATATTTAATCAACATGACATGTTTCTGTAATGTCTGTAACCTTTATGAATTTAGTTAAACTAAACATTGTGGTATATCACATTGGTATTAATTTAAATTAATTGCAAAAGGAAAATGACTGTATTATGTTCAAATTGGATTACAGATATTTGTTTAGTCTTATTTTGTATGATTAAGTCTGATATAGAAAAGTCACAACGACCAATAAATAATTGGCTGAGAAAATTTTCATCCGACTATAATATAAGCATGTGGATAATATTATATGTTTAGAAAGATGATAAGGTTAAAAAAAACATTCACAATACCAGAGTGGATTATTAAAATAAAACAGGCAGTTGTAGATAAAAATACTTTTAAACTGTAATTAATGAAACTTGGAGCTCCATTTAATTATAATTTTGACATATTGATTATATTTACCGAATTACCGGTATCCCTAATTACTGCATGATACTTAAGATAAACCATTTAAATGAAAATTGTATAAGTTGTAAAGAAATAAATGGTGATTCATAAAAAGCCAGACTTAACTGACAAGTAAATTGTAAATTTCTACACAAAAAAACCTAAATAGTTACAAATCAAATTAAAATGATTGATGTTCCAAAGAAACTCGGCTGCGAAAAAAAAAAAAAAAAAAAAAAAAACTACAAAGAGATAATTCAATTAAGTTGGAGAGTAAAAAACAATATTTGTGCCACTATTTGTTAAGATAGATGCATTTCATTACTGATATGAGTAAATATTTTGTTACTTGTTATTATAAAAATGTAGTGGTTATTTAAAAAAAAATATAAATTCTTGTATTACAGTTTGGGGGTTTGCAAATATACTCATTTTCATTATTATTTTACATTTAAAAATGTAGTAAATCAATCTAATCACAAAAAATGAGGTATAAAAATATTTTATAATTTATTTTAAAAAATGGGTAATAAGATTTGCATATTAACAGGTCATCAAACAGAAGCAGGAAAAAGTTAAGCATAAAACAAATAGTAGAGAACTTCCAGATAACTTTTGAACTAACAATAAGTAGGTGCAAAGTACACAGAAATTGACCAAATTGCAAATAATAATAGTAATGCCTTCAAAATACAGTCAGATTAAAACATAAAACATCTGAAACATAGATTTGAACTAAATCGTCTGTCCTACTCACAGGTGGAGTTTGAACCTAAATAAGAGAAAAAATATCAAAAGTCAGCATTGAATGAATGGACTCATATTTTAGAACAATTAATCCCAAATTGATTGGCAGAATTTTGTTGCAACCATGAATCTGAAAAATTTAGTTTCTAGTTACAAGATTAACCTACAACAATGTTATGGCAGAACTAGAAATAAGATATTAACAATAATCTGACTTATAGAACTTTCTTTTTATAATAACTTGATATAAGCTGATAACTGTACTCTAAATCTTTCAATAACAAAAAAGAGCTAGATATAAAAATAACATCAAAGATGTAATGAGAAACTATATAATGCTAATTAATATAAGCAAAACATTTAAAATTTAGATGTAACATCAACAATCCAAAATATGTTGTACCTCCCAAGGTATCTGTCATACACAAGAAATGAAAAGTATTAGTTGGCTTGTGAAAATAATGGTTTTATTTTTAATCATGCTTAAATTTCTATTTTAAGAAAATTATTATTTCCTCCAATTTTCCAGATGAACTACAACTAGCAAACACATTACGAACATGTTGAAACTACAAATAACAAACATTACATTATTGCTATCAGTAGAATAACCACAGAATATAAAAAAATAATTGCATTAAATATATCAACAGGATTTTAATACCAACAATAAACATACAGGGTATATAATAAGAAGCTATAAAAAGCACTAATATTAGAAAATATAACAAACTTTACTTCCTAGAGATCTAATAATGAAATCTCTGTTACACACTTTTGTGAAGAATGCTTTTACTATTAAATCTATTTTTAAAAATATTGCTGTGCATTTAAAGCTCATTTTATAGGTTTCTTATACACTAGCCGTCGGTACCCGTTACACGTGAATTATAGGCCTATATATTTTTAATGTTATACATGTTTGAGAAAAATATTTTATAAAATAGTTATTGATCAAAATGCAATGTGCTTTACTACACGTTGAACAATATTAGTGACAATGCAAAGAAATAACTAAATAGCTAAAAATCCGACACATTTAAAATAACATAGGCTACCAATACATATTAGAAAAATTAAAACCAAATTATAGGCTATACATTATTAGACAACAAACACCATATTAAATCCACACACTGATTAAGAGACTTAAATGATTCCGCTGAAAACCCGGCTATTCCTTGGTCATTATGTTGTTTTTTTAAAGTAATTTTATTAGTTTGACAGAGAAAATAGTATTTATTTCATAGCGTACGTCTTGATACGTAGATTAATAGAATCTAGCTCTAAATCAAATTTGAATGAAATAGTTCATTTCTTTGTACTTACTCCAGGTCGTGGTAGAGACAAATACACAAGTTTGTCCCCTCTGCCTTGACAAATGTCATTCACTTCTTTAACCAGGATGGATAGGTCATTAATTTGTGCCTCCCAAGCATCACTAAAAACTTCTAGGTTCTCTCTTGCTATCTTTGATTCAGAATGCTGGGCAAGAGTGTGGGCTGCATATAGAATCTGTTTTTTTTTAAAGAAAATGTAAAACATATAAAACATAAAATAAAAAAAAACATAATTTAACTTAGCTCTAGAAAAACAAAAACTTTCATTTGATAGGACATAATTCAACCTATTTTAAACCTTTAATAATACATTTTCACATTTTATAAAAACTTGTGTTTATTTTGCTAACATTACTAAGAATCAATACATTCAAGACTATTACAGTACTAGCTGTCCCAGCCAGGCCCTGCACTAACCTTTGTGAAAAACGTATCTGTAAAGGATCATAACTTGTGTGTTTATTAAGCAGAAAATACTGAGCACGGCTCTAAACAGCTAACTCTAAGCCTTAACATAATAACAAACACTAACACAAAAATTGAATATATATCATAACTACAACCCTCACCACATTCTTAACCTGAAACATATACATATAATCTCTACTTCATTTGTTTCTAATTTCTTGGGCACAAACACAAAAAGATTTCGATAATTCTTAAAAATCTATACTTGTTTGAAAAATATATTTTATAATAGTAATTGGTCAAAACGCAATGTGCTTTACTACTTGTTGAAAGATATTTGTGACAAAGCAAAGAAAGTACTAAATAGATAAAAATCAATGTGTTCTGACAAAGTATCAAGTTATTTTCTTTTCTCTAAAACAAAACCAATATCTACACATCAATTTTAATCTAAGCCTAAATCATTGAACCAGAACTGGAAATTTATCTGAAAGTAAAATTTAACCAGAAACGAAATTAAACAGAAAATTGAACTCTATCTTGAACAACCATTTTAACCAGCTCCGGAAATTAAACCAGAATATAAATTTTAACTAGAAACAAAATCTTACCCGAAATGGAACTTTATCTGGAACTGAAAATTTAACAGAAATCTGAACCTTAACCTAAACTTTTTTTGGAACAAGCATTTTAACCTGATTCAGAAATTTAAACTGAAATAAAAATTTAGCCAGAAATAATATTTCAACTGAATTAGAAATTCAAAAACGGAAACAGAAATTCATCAGGGTTCTGAAATTTTTCCAGAAACAAGCATTTTATCTGGAAACAGAAATTTCAACGGAAACGTAACTTAACAGGCAATGCAAAGTTAACTGGAAACGGAAATTTAACCAAAATCAAAACTTTATGACAAAATAAATTTAACTGCAAACAAAAATTAACTAAGAACAGACATTCTAACCTGATCTGGAAATTTAACCAGAAATAAACCTCTGAGTAATAATAACCCTAACCTTTAACCTAAACCTAACTATGTATTTTACTTTTGCTGTATTTTTTTGTATATCTACATACACTTCTAATATTAAATATATAATTTAGGCGTTAAATTTATTTTGTGCTTCAATGATCAATGAAGACATAAGTATTGTGTATTCTTTTATTTTTTTTACAATCACTTTGTTTTGTATAAATCCGGTAGTTTAAATTTATTTTTATTAACGTTTCATTTTGATATTTTCATTCTCTTAGTATGCTTCTACATTCAAATATACCTTTATTTTTATTTTCGTATTAAAATAAAATTTAGTGTATACATTTAATACATCCAACATCTAATTTTCAACACAAGTCCTTATCTTTTAAGTTCTCCGTATATTGCTGATCTAATAGCCTCAGAAAATATGCATTGACAGACAGAGAGTTAAGTGCTTACATGGGCTATTATATATAAGAATTTTGAGCTTCATTACTGGCGTACATTTTTCTTTCTATTAAAGCTTAAGGAAAAATGATCCATCCATCCATCCCATCCCATCCATCCCACCCACCCACCCACCCAAACCCACCCACCCACCCAAACCCATGTACGGTATATAAAAATAAAAGTCGATTTTTGTTTGACACCGTTCATCTGATAGCCATGAGACTTTGGGGAGTTGAATAGAACACTCTGGGGAAGGGTTCTGTAAAAAAAAAATCAGTTTTAATTTCCCAAGGGCGGCGCCACGGGAGGGTGCGATTTTCCTCTGTGACGGTATATAAAAATAAAAGACGATTGCGGTTCGACACAGTTTATCCGGGTGCTATAAAACTTTAGGGAGTTGATGAATACTCCTGTAAAAGTTTCTGGAGTGGAGGAGTGGGGGGTGGGTGGTGGTGGTGGGAGGGGGATTTAATTTTGCCAGGGTGGCCCCCTGGCAGGATGCGATTTACGCCCTGGTCTTTCCCGTGAGCGCTATGGCGAATACATTCTGTCTCAACAGTGCGACAGACAATGGATAGGATGAGGCATTACAAATTCTCAATAAAATTGAAATTTGGTAGGGTGCGATTTGGTTGCAAACAAAAATTTCAGTTTCGGCCCCCAAGCTCAGGCATTGTTTACATTTAAATAACTCACTTTTAGAAAACAAGGTCACGCATCTAAGAATATAGGATTGGTATATTTCGTCGGACTTTCTTCTATTCCCGCGGCGACGCGCGGAGACGGGTACACTAGTACTAAATAATGATGCAAAGACAAACTTACCAATGGACCTAAACAATGTAGAAATGATTCATTGTGTTCAGCTGTTATTATTAATGGCTCTGTACTTGCCATATGTCTGAACAGCTTACAAACCTGCAACATTTTCATTCAAATTTAATTTGTATGTTTCTATTAAGTTTTAAGCTTTTGTACATTTACTATATGTTAAAAAAAAATGCAATTAAAAGTTCTACAGTATATACTTAATTATATTTAAAAAATAACAGCATCCAGTCTTCAGCAAAGCCATCTGTTTCTCTTGAGTAACTAATTTGTGATTGCTTTAATTACAAATAACACATTTTCTAGTCTAGGACCTTGATGACATTGTCACAAAATAACATAAATCATTAACTCTGGTCTAATACAAGAACTTGAATATAACAATATGTGTGACTAATTAGTTATTTTAGTAGAAATAATGAAAGTGGCTTTTAACTCAGGCAGCTTTCTACAAACTTTTAAATCTAATTGAGCACAATACATGAACTATGGCCAGAGGAGCTGATGAAGTGTGTGCCTTTTATGTGGGAGCTGTTTCACTTTTGGTAAACTCAGACACTCAAGATTATAATTTAAGATTATCTAAGGCACCATGGTATTTCTTTTTATCCACCAATTTTTATAGTCAGTGCTGGCCACACAACGACCCCCCCCCCCCCCCACCCCCATTTTAAACATGGTTCAAGACAACTTTGTTTTTAAGTCGAACAAAACATATTTTTCCTTCTTAAAATACACTGGAATGAACACACATTTGTGTGTGCTTTCTTTAAAACAGGAAAAAGAAGGGAACATTTATCACAAACTAGATTCTAACTGTTGGTCACAGGTCTATGTTTAAAAAATGTTAGTGTTAGGCTTGAAACAAAGTAAAGTGATTTTAAAAGATAATACAAACAATAACATAACTTATATAAGTTCCAATAATAAAACCTTTCTGATTGCAATTGAAAATGATTATGAGTTTTTATATTCAATATTTTATAAATGAACTAGAGCTATCAGTAAATAAAGCATATAAAAACTAAAAAGCTTGTTGACAGAAGACATCAGAACATTGTCCAGCAAAAGTTTTATATTAACGCTCAATTGTGCATCATTTGAAAAAAGTTTTTAAAATTTTGAATATTTAATACTTGGAAAAAAACCTCAAAAGTTCAAAAGAAATAAAATGATAAAATTTTAGTTTACATTAATATTTGCTTTTTAAATTATTTTAGGGTCTGTTTAAAATGTTATGTTTATGGCTACCAATTTTAAAATAAGACACTTTTTATTAATGGGCTAGTTTTTTTAATGTGAAATATTAGTAAGAATACAGTAGCTGTGTTAAGGTATGAAAGGTGAAAAGCACAGTAGCAATCTCAAACAAAAAAAGCAAACTGCTAAGAACTCTCCCAAATAAATCATCTTCTTGTGCCAGAGGTGTAACTAGCCTATGGTTGTTAAAGCTTTGGCCATAAAAGCCTTTGCTACTAATGATAGTTTTAGCTTTTTAGCCTTTGCTACTAATGATAGTTTTAGCTTTTTCGGGTTTTAATTATCTTAAATATGGCTATAATACATAAAAAACGATTCATATTTTTAAATGCTTAAACAACGATTATATCTAATTTGTCTCACTGGAAAACATCATAGTGCCGTAATTAGATACAAGATGGTGTTTAAAAATATTACCATATAATATTCATATGGTTTTGCAGTGCTTCTGAATAATTTATACGTCAAAAAATTATTTGATAATGAGAAGGTTACACATTATAAGCCGCAAAGAGAAGTTACTGATGGAAATGTTATACTTTTATCAATGATAAAATTAATTATTTTTTATGACAAAAATATATGTGAAACAAGTTTTTATAATACAAATATACTTTTAAAATGTAAGTTGCAGGTAATGTTTTACAAAATACACCTCTGGCAACTGTTAATCTACAGTGATTATGTGTGGCATTGCTTACGCATAAGAATGATTCAATTTATGAATTTAAAAATGCACTGTTTCTATCACATCCTGTTAAATAATTTGTGTCTGGAAAGTTTAGCTCAAATTTTATATGATGAAAGCACTTTAAGAATCAACTGAGTTAATGAATGTCTCTTACCATCAGTTATTTATCACTGGACACCTCACATATATTACTGTACAGATCAATTCAATCAGTTAACGTACAAATATTTATGTATACATAAATAAATAATAGCACACAATGTTTAACACCAAGAAAATAAATTTTAGAACTTTTGGACAGCATGCACTAGTTCTTTTATAGATATTTTTCTGTTCTATAAATTAGCTTTTTATAATTCAATTTGAGGTAAGTGTGTATTATATAGTCCTTTAGAGTTGTTTACATCTTTTAATTGTTCAGGTCTATTAAAATTTTCATATATTTCAACTAATTTCTGTATTACCTACAGAAGACAAAGTGTAAATATTGTCAGCTTAATCCACATTATAAAATAAGTGCCAGCTGTTCTAATGTACTCCAGTATTTAACTTTTAGAACTACCTATAGTGAGTTCAATAAGTGTAGTCAGCCAATAGTTAAATAGCAAATATTTTGCTCACCTCAACATTGTGTTGCTTTATCATAAGATGTTCAAAACTCCTAATAAAAGTTGTCACTGCCCCCCACCCCCCAAAACAAAAAAAGGTAGTAGGGTCATTGTAAGTTCACATTTTGAAATCAGCAATACTATAGAGCATACCTCAAAGTGTGACATATTGCTGTTTGAGATTGCCAGTGATATAATTCCTCCCTCCCCTTCAACTTAGCATTATCACATACGTAGGCTACTCTAGGTCACTGTAAATTCACAAAAGCTTAGAAATCTGCAACCGTTGCTACAAGGGGGGGGGGGGGGGGGGTGTTTAGTCTAACGTTCTGAAATTAAATTTGAAGCAGCAGGAAATGGTGACGGGGATGGGGGGCTACTATATATGCAAGATTAACGATAAAGAAACCAGGCTGAGGAGATGTATATTTTCTTTATGGAATGGCAAGATTTTAGAATACGTTTTTCCCCATTTTATTTATGTGAATGTGTGTCAGATGTGCATTTTATAAATAATAGTTTACACCTGTAAAATATAGCCTGCTAAAATATACTGTATATTGAAAGAAGACTGGCATTCAAACTTTTTGAAATAAATTTGATTCTCTATTTACCAAAACCAAGTTTTAGATCTAAGTTCCACTAAGAAAACAAAAGTAGCGGGCAAGATAAATGCTCTCACACCAACGTTAATTGATTCTAGGCTTTCACAATTGTGAACATTTTATAAACATTGTTTCATTAAACTTTCCTACTTGTTTCAAGTGACATCATTTTCTTTACTAGTGATACCTTTGTGTTAATTGTGAAAAGGATCATTATTGGTAAAATGGGGTTCCTCTGGAGTCATGATAATAAAAATGATTTCTAGAATGCCAAACATTTTCTGGGAAGTAAAAAAAAATTGCTTCTCAAATCTGAAATTCCATGATATCCCAGTAAAGTGGCACCACTGCTAACGCTACTACTTATTATTTAATCAATAAATTGAAAAATAAACTTCAAATTAAAACTAGTTTATCAAGCTTTTCTGACAATAATCAAACTGAACAATAAAACAAATAAAGCAGGAGTGATCTTCCCTAAACTTTCTCATATTTTCTTATATAGCACTACTAGGATGGAAAATCGGGATAGAGACATGATTTTTAATTAATTTTTAATTACTAACGCTTTTTAAAATGGAATAGAATCTTGTAGGAAAAGAATTGTGCATCTAGTAAACAGCAAACAATGTGTGTATAATCTGGCATAATAGTAGTATAAATTCATATGCTTTTTTTGAAAAATTGGAAATAGCGTAAAGTACTACTTCTGGTCAAAGGAAATTACTCAAAATTTTAAAGAAAGCAGAGAACTAGATCTTATACTTATATGTGAAATTTCATTTATCTATCTGAAACAGTACTCAAGTTATAGGCTTTTGAAAAACCAATAAGCTCCACTTCCGGCTACCGGAAATAGCTGATACGTCAATACCTAACATACATTTGATATAATACTTATATATGAAAATTCATCAACCTAGCTGTAACTGTACTCAAGTTATCGTTTTCACAGACATACATACATACACACAGACACAATAGCAAAACGAAGTTTTTCCAACTAAGCGAGGTGTAAAAGGTCGAGATTTGTGAAAATCTTGATTTTAAATTGTGCACGATTACAATACTTCCTCTATACTTCATATCAATAAAATTAAAAATGGAATGTTTTTAACATAGGAGCAGCAGCACATGCAATGAAACTATTTTATAATCTCAAATTTCATTGAGATTCACAAAAGGCAAATCTTGTCAGAGTATACCCTACATGTAAAAAATAATATGTGATTTCCTCATCACTGTGTTATATAAATATTTTGAGGCTTTGAAACTATCATTTGGGTTCTTCAATTTCATATACACTTTGATATGATGGTTATTTGGGTTATGGGCAAGCTAACAATAAATTATAATAATCTGGGATGTAATTAATTCCAATAACAAGCATGTCCTCTTTCATTTAGACCTAAAGCTAACATTTACATTAAGATTAATGTAATGTTTAGAAATGCTAATGATGGTTGTTAAGATAGTAGTCCTACATCACCAGGTAAGGATTGATGTATTTATAAAAGTTTCTACATATTACTCTTGATAGTAAGCATTAATATGCAGTCACTTTCAATTACCCTAGAACAGCTGTTTCCAAATATAAAATGCCTAGCAACGCCCCATATTTACATTGATAAATAAATATATATAATGGCCAATGAGGTCAATGTCAAGAGCTTAAAAAAATTATGTATATATATGTATATATTTGTATGTATATACATGTATATATATATATATATATATATATATATATATATATATATATATATATATATATATATATATATATATAGCGGGACACACTAGTGGCTCAATTTTTAGTCCTAAAGAAATGTTTGAAAAATTCAAGAGCATTGGAAAACACATTTGAGCACTGTTCTATTATATGTGAAGAGGTAATAGTAATAGACTATTAAGTATTGTTTCTTCCAGGCATCCCCACCCCCCCCCCCCCGCGAACTAGATGGAATTTATATAGAAAACATATACTGTAACTAGTGTCTGCTCCTCCCCCAAATTGTAGACTGCCCCCCCCCCCCGAAAATATCAAGTGCCCCCCACCAGAGAAAAAAGTCTGGAAGAAACACTGTGAGCATATAAAATGAATCTGACTTTGAAGCATAACTGCAAAGTAAATAAATATAAATGTATGTAAGAAAGTTAATGAAATTATTTTTCATAACAAATTAATTAGGACATTAAAAAGCAATAACAATAATAATTAAATGAAGATGTGCATGAATGTTAAATATAATGTATACTGATATCCTAAGGTGCAAAGAATGTATAATAAATTGTACCCTAGTGTATGTGGAATAGTGGGGGCAAAATGTTAGTATGTTTTTGCAAGTCTTTTATTTTATAATCTCAATGACGGACTCTTGGTTAACATATTAGGAAGTCTGAAGGAGAGTTTAGAAAATACTTTTTTGCCCAAAAGCTTTACCATCAATTATAACCTTGGAGATTTTTTACATACAAGAATTCAACACTCATTTAGTCATTGTAATGTCCAAGACTGTAACCTCATGACTTCTGTCCTCCCCATCTATACACAGTTTAAAAACATCTTTTTGTGCTCTGTACCATGATTTAGATAATATTCTAGCAGAATATTTTATAATGGCGTGATTCAATGATAGAGCTTTCGACTGCTAAACTGAAAGTCTCAAGTTCGGATTCTAAGTTTGCGTCCTTAAGTCCACCAAGCTCTGATGGGTACCTGTTAGAGAAAGTAAAGGCGAATAGGCATAGTGCTGACCACACTATCCCTTCATATGCAGAGGTGATTGAAACAGATGAACTCTCTACTTCACCTGCCAATGTACAGTAAGAGTTCTTTTTTTCAGAACATAAAATGGGGTAGAAAAAAAAAGATCCCTGTAATGTATAATTTAACTAAAGAAAACTTTATAAAACTCCATTTTAATTGAATTAAAAAACATGTAACTATTATCAATATTTATATTTATGTTATCAGTAGCAAATTACTTATTTCCAAACCTTATGCTATCATATTTAACATAGTTATAATCAAAGAGCCAAAAAATATCTTCCTGTGCCATGGTTATGGTGGCTATCTTGGATTTTATTTATACTTTTTAAACTCAAAGAAGACTAATGCAAATTTAATAAAAAAAATTACAAGATTATGGAGACACATGTTGGTAACAATTCTTTTTTGAATTTTATGTTAGTTTAGTTTTTACAATTTCTTTTTCTGATAAACTTTTTTTTTTTAAATTTAAAAATTGTGCAAAAAATGCACCATTTTTAACTGCAAAAGAAAATTCAAGACACATTTTCTATCAGTTTTATTGGCATATTTATAAAGGATAACTGGAGAAAATTGTATTTAATTCTAATAATAATTGAGAGTTATTTTAAGCTTTGTATTACATTATGTCAAACTGAGTAAAACTACAAAAATGCAAAATGGTATAAAATTTTAATTTACAGGTTAGCATAGATATTATAAACAAGATCCAAAGCCTGAAATGTCATGCTGCTTATATTGCTTAGTCTACAGCTATTTACCTTTCTTTTTTAGCTATAGTGCTAATCTGTTATTAAGGTTTAAGGTCAAAATTCTTGAGCTGGGGGGGGGGGGGGGGGGGGGTGTAACTGAAAGGGGGGGGGGGCTCTAAGGGGTAATTTGGGGAGGGGTAATGTCCTAGACCGGTACATATTACATTATAATATAGCCATTCCTACAAAAACCACATATATTTGTAAAGCCTGTTGAAATCCAGGAAACTATTAATCTATCTGGGTACTTATGATCAGCCACATTTGTCTCACTAAAGTACCAATAACTATTTCCTGGAGGACACAAGTTTGCAGAGGAAAGTCATGTGTACAGGTCAAACTGTGATAAAAGTATAGCATCTATGATAGTAATATTCATAGTTATAAAAATATTTATAATAATTATTATTCAGCTTTTGTTACTTGTTGTGAGAATGAAGCTAAAGTAAATTATAGTTGTTATTGGTATATTCTAAATGTTGTAATGATAGTAAAATTGTATCTGTTATCACAATCTTTCATCAGTAAATGGGTTTAATAGAGTTATCAAACGTCCGGTACTAAAGAGTTGTTTACATGTACTAAGGAGTTGTTAACTTCAGAAGCATAACAACCGATTGCTTAGCTTCCACATCTAAATGCCAGTGAAAAATCCAATTTGCATATCCGAAAGACCCGATTGAGTAAAATAAACAATGTTATGACATAGAAAAAGGAATAAAATTAAATGAGTATTCTTATTAGGTATTTTGATAAGGTATTTAAATTTAGAATAAACAAAGAAAGTCATGACCTTTCTATTGACATGAAACAAAGTAGGCTTGCATGAAGCCTAATACTAGACATACTACTCTGATACATTTTTTTATATAGTACTTTAACGGTAATAAAACTGTAATTTTTAGATTCAACAATGGTTCTTTTGTATAGATAAATTAAAGTAGAATATTGATGATTTGATGGATTTATGACAAAATAAGATAAAAAGCTAATTACTTCTTCCAGTTGTTCTTGGTGTTCAGAAAATTTGACAGTCAGTTCTTCTACTCTATCAAGATCTCCAGCCAAGCCAGCCATTCTTAGAGCTTTGAGCAATCCTTCATCATCATTTTGTCTAAAAAGATCAGATGCTTGACTCATAGCTGTAGTCAAAAGCTGTGTATATAATAAAAAACCCTCTTTAAATAACTCTTGCAAATACCTATCTTTACTTTTAAACATAAAATAAAATATAGAGCTACCTGTTTTCTTAAAATTTTGGCAGATTCCAATGTTTTAATAATTGAAGTTTCCAGATCTTGAGTTGGAGTCCTTGCATCTTTACAGTTCTAATTAAAATAAAATGTATAGAAATATTAGAATTTTTATTAAAAGACATTTAAGGCATAGCAATAGTATGTACACATTTTTAAAAACTCAAATTCTCTACTGAAAGAGAACAGAATTTAAAAAAAAAACAGGGAAGGCTAAGGGAGTCAAGGAGGTGCATGGCAGAAAAGCAACTGACAATGGCAGGACTATCTTGGGGGACTGCCAAGAAAATTGCCAAAGATGGGCGAAAGTGGAAAGAGCTTTCTGTGGCTACCCCATGTATCTTAGGCACAAATAAGAAAAGATATACTGAAATTATTCTAACAGTAAATTAAAAGATCAGTGCTTCATCAGAAGAATTAATCAAATATAACTATAATGTTCCTAAATGAAATAAATCAGTTAAAATAGAAATAGTTGATAAACAAATGATATCGTATGAATCAATATTACTGGTAAAAATAATGGTACCATTTCCAAATATGATTTTCAAATTTGACTTTGAAATGAGTTTACAATTTCCATCACTATATTGCTGAGACAAGAGAAAGTTAAAGATGCGCAATGCACTTGAAATAAGTGAAACCAGGGATGATAGTTAAATAATACTTTTCCTAAATTATATAAGGGATATGACAAGAGTGTGAAATAAAATTAGACAATTTTTGTTCTGACCAGACTCAATATGCATTTTTCAAGCTCTAATATATTGCAATAAAGCACTCTCTGGCATTATTAAACTTTTATTAGCTTAATATAGCTAATATTTTGAACAAAAGAATTCTGGAATTTAAAAAAAATGAATTAATAGTGTTTAGAAAATAATAGCCAAAAAAACCAAAATAGTTGAAGCAAAAATAATCATATTGATAGTAACCACATTATATATGCATTTAGAATAGCCTTTAAGGGGGTAAGTGGCGGTAAAAAAAAACAACTTTTTTAATACTCGTTAGGAAACATTTCTTTATAGCTTTTTTGAGGTACATATGTTTCCATTAGAAAATATTGGTGATAAAATCTTTGGTAACTATGACAAGAAAAATCTTGAAAAATTAACCTGTTCGTAGGATTTCCACCATTCATAAAGTATTATATTTTAAGCCAAATTAAGAATGAATTCATAATCTTCTACCATATTTTGGGGTACTCAGCCAAAAAATGAGAGTGCGTCTATCAATTGTATATTGAGATTGCCAGTGATGTTACTTTTATTTTTAGAAACTGCAATGTATATTTTCTTTATAGAATGGCAACCTTCAAAATACTTTTTCTGAAACACTTTTTTGTGAAAATGTGTAAATGAAAAATGTAAGTGGAAAATTTCTGAACAAAATATAGAATACTTTAAAATTAGGAAATCATCAAATTCAGAAAAGTTGCATCCCTGTATGTAAACAATTTCTAACGGTTGCTTTTAAATGTGAATACCGAAAAAGATATTTATTAATTTTAATGCCATACCAAATTTTGCCCTAGTAGAAGCATATTCTGTAAATCATCTCGCAAGTTGTCGGTGAGCTGCACTATTTTTTCACGAGACTCATGAGAAGTGTAGTATGAATCTGTAAATTCTTCAACTGTTTCTTTAACACTTTCAAAAGCAGTGAGTAGCCTGTCCTCAACTGCAGGGCTTATCATTGTAACCCTTGCCATATCTACTTGATCCTAAAAATGAAAGAAACTATGCCAGAATCTAATATATTTTTTTGTGTTTAATATTGTTCCTCTCTCACCCCTCCCCACTCGAGCAAGGGGTTCAGGTGGTAATAGCAGGTTACCTGAAGATACATACAGAAAATATCAAACATCATTTATACATTATCATACATTATCCTTAATTTAATACATCATATTTTTTAAAACAGCTCAAATTGTAACACATGTTGGGTTGGTAATACAAAATGTCTAGAGTATGATATTGGAGATGAGATAGGGTAGGTGGTGTATTCATAGTTTGATCTGGAAACTTTGCTTTAGTAGGCTATATCTTCTGCTTGGTTTAGTTCGTCTCTAAATACAATTATTGTATTGCCTGATTTTTTGTTTTGCCTGCAATATATTTCATCGTGCTCTGGGTCATTATCTGGGTGCCAACTCTGTAGGTGTAGTTTTAACTGCTTTGACGTGAATACTGCAAGTATTTCTTCGCAGTAGGGGCATTTGTAGGCGATGGCTTTGGGATGATTGATTGCGAAATGATCAAGGATTTTTTCTGATATTTTTTCCTTGCAGATTCTACAGTTCAGGACTGTGTAGTGTGCCTTGTCTAGATGTTCCATTGTCTCGCTGAACGAAAGGTCACACAGCGCACATCGGTTTAAGTTTTGGCTTGTTGATGATAGGCACAAGGTGTAGGGGTGCTGACTGCCTGTGTGACATTTTCTCTGTTAGCTGCAGGTGGGTTGGCTGCTGCAAGATGTTTTTTTTTCTTTTTTATTGCTGGTGGTGTTAGCTCTAAATTTGCTTGCTGAGTTTTTTTTGTGGGTTAGGCGTTTTTTTCGCTGTTGTGACTATGTTGTTGACTTTCAGCTGTGTTGTTGTTGACGGCGATACTTTATTGATCTGTTCTGTTGTTTTTCCATCTGGTACTTCCACTGTCAAAGATGTTGAGACTGTTTGTTTGTCTGTGGGCCTTGGTGTTTGGTCTTCTTGTAGCAGTGACTCTTGGTTTGTTGCCTGACAGTGGTTTGTCCAATGTCTGTTTGAGCCACATGTTTGACATGCTTGTCGTCTGCCCAGTAATACTATAAAAATGTTTATTGTTGTGTCTGTGATTTTGATGTAGTGTGTGATATATTGTGGGTTATCATTGCAGATGGTGAATTTCCGGTTGGTAGTGTATGGGATGGAGGTGATTGTGGGTTCTTTTTTGCTTATTGTTCTAAGTGCCTTTAGGAGGGTGCCGCTGACTTTGTCTTTCTGGTGTAATGAGAATTCCAGTGCGTAGGGTCCATGTTGTTTTGTAGTGTTATCCAGATCTGCTACATCTGTATCTGCTCGTCCATAGTTCAGCAGCACAATCTGATGTGGGCTGATTAGATTGCATAGTATGTGACCGGAAGGTTTCGCTGGCCATAGGATTTGATGGTGACTTGCATCACTACTTTTGAGGTTGAGGTAGTGTCGAAGAGGTCTGGTGCTGCTTCTTCCAATATGTCCATCAAACAAACTTTTAAAAAATGCATCACCTTTCACAAAAGTTCTAATTATGTCTGAAAATTATTTACATTTAGTCCTTTAGCACTCATTACGTCCCTTGATCAATTCGGAAAACACAATTACTTCCCTTTATAAAACCTATTACATTGGGGGAAGGGGGGGGGGAATTTACTTTTTATTATTTTGTTTTGGTGTTACATACTTACATAATATTTACATAATTAGCAAGGATTGATCAAGTGCAATGTGGTAGGTATTTTAAATACTGCCTTTAACTTATTTTATACACTGAACGTACTGTTTACTAATTATTTTTTAAAATCAATAACAGTTAAGAAGCCAGCTTCTTAATGTCCTCTCTGTTTAATTCTTTCCGTTTGCAGATAAGCTTGGGGTATTTTAATTGTTCACTAAATTGAAACAGGCGCGTCTCCCGACACATTTTGATTTGGCACCCTGGGCTATCCTGTGAGCGCTATGGTGCATAATTTCATTTTAAACAGTGCGATTGACTATGGATAAGAAAGGTTACTATAATCTTTAAGTGAATCAAATCCGGGCGTCCTCCGGTCCTAGGCCTTCCCGTGTTTGCTATGGCGTCTACATTCGTTTAAGTGAGTGCAAAAGACTATGAATAAGTTGGGGTACTATAGTGGTTTACTAAGCCGGCGCACCAGGATTGTGTTGTTTACAGACGGTTCCGCTGGCGCCCCAGCATGGTACGATTCGGCGCCCCCGGACTAGATTGTGAGCACTTTGCGTTTGTGTTTTCTGTGTTTGGGTTGGGTTTGCATTTGTGGTTGGGTTTGTGTTTGCTTAGGATTTGGTTTGTTTTTGTTTGCAATTTGTGTCTTATTTGTGTTTATATTGTTGTTGGGTTTGTGTTTGTATTTGTGTTATGTTTGCGTTTTTTTGTTTTGTGTTTTGATTTTGGTTGGTTTTGGTTAGGGTGGGCAATGACTGGTATATGCTGATTACTAAACACAAATGTCATGGTCCTTTTAAGACAGGTTTTTCACAGAGGCCAGTGCAGGGCCTGCCGGGACGGCTAGTTATGTAATGAAACTTATTTTCAAGTAAAGTTACTTAATTACTTTTAAAATTGTTGCTATTACATTATCCATAAGGAAATATTATATTTAAAAACTTGAAAATATAATAAACCAGAATAGCAAAAAATGTATCTGCAGAATGGTAAAATTTACATCATAAAGTACAGGAGGTGATCAAAGCTTTTACCTCAAAATCAGAAAATGCTTTACTAGCTGTGGGATGAGAGGATGCAAGTCCAATGCCTGAATCACCATTGATCACCTGCCCCTTTTCACTGCGACCTTCTTCTGGGCTACCGAGAACAACTACATGATGAATAAGTTCCTGTGCCTGTCTTATCATTGCAAATACCCCTTGGCGTGTGTGGCGTGCACTAGAGCAATCTGGGTGTCGCAAGCAAGTCTATAAAATTATGTATCAAACAAAAAAACAGTTTAAAAAGTGTGATGTTTGTTAGACTTAAAATGCTAAACATTTTATTTTTAAATTCGATGTTCCTTTCAGGATTTTTTCACAAAAAATATTGTAATATTAAAGGGACTAAATGAAAATCCATAACTTTTAAATTAAAAATGATTTATAATTCTTTATTATTATGTAATGTGAAGATGTAACTTCTATAAATAATTTTTTTAAAAACAAACGTATTGCTCTACTCACTTTACAAGATAGCAGTAGCATCATAGTTGATTTTTCTAAAATAGCTCTAGCTGATCCCATTTGTGCTCTTTGTTTATCGCTTTTTAAATCCTAAAAGGATTATTAATTTAGATGATCAAACTGTCACTGATTTATTTCTTAGCACATATATTGTTAGACCTACAGATATGCAAGTAATTTTTAAAAAGTGTCCTTTTAACAAGCTTTTATTTCACTTGCTAACTCTGTCATCAGTCTGTCTGTCATCATGCTACTACTATTCCGCACTATTATATTTGGTGCGCAATAGTTTTCAGTAATGCAACTCTATTGTAAATAAAAAAATTTAAGTATGGAAAACAATAAACTGGGAGTGATCTACCTAAACTTTCTCAAATATTCTTATATAACACTAGGGGGGATGGCAACTTGGGATATAGACATGATTTTTAATCCATTTTTAATTACTTTTTAATTATTATATATTTAAACAAAATAATTTATTTTCTCCTTTTTAATGCATTTTCACATTAAAGCTTGTTATTAAAACGTTTTTTTATGCAATTTTTTTTACTTATGCACACACAAAATTAGAAAAAGCAATTTCTCATAGTATACATTAAGTATTTTTTATAATCTTCATCAATGCATAAGAAAAGTTAACTTAAAGGCTAGAAAAAATTGTAATAAAATGTGAGTTAAGTATAATAAAATATTTAACAAAAAATAAATTACATTCTGTCTATCTCCAGAGAGATGAGCTAGCTCAACCATATCTTTACCAAACTGACTAAATGCAGAGACAAAATCAGTAAAGTTGTTCACTTCTTCAACCTGACAGAGGCTTTGTAAAACCTGTTGAAACAATATGTTATAAAGCTATTTAAACATAACCAAAAGAATATGCTTAAAATATAACAAAGTGTGATTTTAAAATTTGACATACAATTACAACAGCTACACATTTATAATAACCTTTTCTTTGCTGAGTAGTAGCTGTTTAACAACAATACGATCAGCCAAAAGTAGTACTTTTGTAATGGCTGAAAGAAGCTGACGAGCTGCTCGTACCATAGCTGTTTTCTCTGTTGTCACTGTCTCATCTCTGTGACAAGATGTTAGCCTTTGTATTGTTTCACCTTTAGATATTTAAAAAAAGTAAAACACTGGGGGTTCACTTGGAATCCAGTATAACTATAAATGATTTTTTTCCCAGTAATTAATATTGCATCACCTGCTTGTTTATCTATATCTATCTATCTATCTATATATATAAAAAGCAATGTATGTCTGTGTGTGTGTGTGTGTGTCTGTCCTTTATGCATTACTACACCTCTCATCACATCGCCGTGAAACTTTGGGAAGTTGTTGAGAATATTTCTGGGGAGGTTTCTGCGAAAAAAAATATTTCAAATTCGCAGGGGTGGCGCCCCGGCAGGGCGCTATTTGTTTTTCTATATATACGGTATATAAAAATAATAAAAGTGAATTGCAGTGACACCGTTCACATGATCGCCATGAAACTTTGGAAAGATGTTGCGAATACTCCTGGGGAGGTTTTTGCGCAAAAAACATTTTTAAATTCGTAGGGGTGGCGCCCCGGCAGGGCGCGATTTGTTTTTCTCTATATACCGTATATAAAAATAAAAGTCGATTTTGGTTTGGCATCGTTCATCCGATAGCCATGAGACTTTGGGGAGTTCATTATACCACTCTAGGGAAGGGTTCTGTAAAAAAATAATTTTTAATTTCGCAAGGGCCGCGCCACGGGAGGATCCGATTTTTCTCTATATAAGGTATATAAAAATAAAAGTTTATTCCGGTTTTACACCTTTCATCTGATCGCCATCAAACTTTGGGAAGTTGATTAGAACACCACAGGGAAGGGTTCTGTAAAAAATCGTTTTTATTTTCGCAAGGGCGGCGCCACAGGAGGGTGCGATTTTTCTCTATATACGGTATATAAAAATAATAAAAGTGAATTGCAGTGACACCGTTCATCCGATAGGCATGAAACTTTGGGGAGTTCATTATAAAACTCTACGAAGGGTTTTGTAAAAAATCATTTTTAATTTCGCAAGGGCGGCGCCACGGGAGGGTGCAATTTTTCTCTATATACGGTATATAAAAATAAAAGTCGATTTTGGTGTGACACAGTTATCTAATAGCCATGAGACTTTGGGGGAGTTGATTAGAACATTTCAGGGAAGGGTTCTGAAAAAAAAATATCCTTTTTTAATTTCGCAAGGGCGGCGCCACGGGAGGCTGCGATTTTTCTCTATATACAGTTTATAAAAATAAAAGTCTATTTCGGTTTCACACCGTTCATCCGTGTACAGTGAAACTTTGGGGAGATGATTAGATAACTCAATAGTAGGATTCTGCAAAAAAAAAAATTGTTTAATATTGCAAGGGCGGCGCCCTCCGGGGGAGGGGGGGGGGGGGGGGGATTTTTTTTTCTCTATACACGGTATATAAAAAATAAAACTCGGATGCTGTTCATCTGAGTACCATGAAACTTTAGGGAGTAGATGAGAATACTCCCGAGAATTTTTCTGCGTAGCGAGTAAGGGGTACTACTATATTCAGCGGTAAAACTACAACAGGCTTCTAAAAATAACTTTGTAACGCGAGGAAATCCTTCTGTACAGTTTCGTCACCTTGCGAAAGATGAAAAAATAACTTTTTGAATATGAGGAGCCTACTGTAGAGTTTCGTCACTTTGCGAATGATGCAATAAGCATCTACTATTAGACAATCCAGTCAGAAATTGAGATCGAGCATCTAATAATAGACCATTAGTAACGCTAGCATATTGCATCAGTCACAATGATATTTAAAACACGTCAAATAATTTTTTTACATGTAAAAGAAAAAAATCCTGTTCATTTGTGTCACTTTAGCAAATGACGAAATCTGCATCATTATTAACAGGATGCTATTTGGCACGATGGCACCTGTTAGTTTTTAGGAGCTAGGGGTAGTACGCCGCGCCTATGTGGTAGTGTAATCGGGGGGTGGGGGCCCTGAGAGCGCCCCTCTAAGCTCTGACACAGAGGCGGTCACCGAAGTGTGTTACCATATTATTTCGGTGAGTGATTAATGTACACTCAAGGTTTTCATGCGGTAGTGTAGGTAAACCCGTGTCCTGATATTTATGATCCAAGCGCAGGCATTGTTTACATTTAAATAACTCATTTTTAGAAAAGAAGGTCACGCGTCTAAGAATATATAATTATAATTGAAATCCTAATATATTTCGTCAAACTTTCTTCTATCCCCGCGGCAACGCGCGGGGGTCGGGTACGCTAGTATATATATAAAAAAGCAATGTATGTCTGTGTGTGTCTTTTATGCATTACTACACCTCTCATCACATCGCCGTTAAACTTTGGGAAGTTGTTGAGAATACTCCTGGGGAGGTTTCTGCAGGAAAAAAATTTCAAATTCACAGGGGTGGCGCCCCAATAGGATGCGATTTGTTTTTTCTCTTTATAAGGTATATAAAAAATAAAAGTCTATTGCGGATTCACACCGTCCATCCGATCGCCATCAAACTTTGGGGAGTTGATTTGAACACTGCAGGGAAGGGTTCTGCAAAAATATATTTTTATCTTCGTAAGGGCAGCGCCCCGGGAGGATGCGATTCTTCTCCATATACGATTAATTTTTAAAAAAATGAAAGTCGGATGCGGTTCGAAACCGTTTATCAGAGTGCCATAAAACTTTAGGGAGTTGATGAATACTCCCAAGATGGTTTCTGGAAGGAGGGGGGATTCAATTTTGCAAGGGCGGCCCCCGGCAGAATGCGATTTGGCGCCCTGGTCTTTCCCATTTGCGCTATGGCAACTACGTTTGTTCTAAACAGTGTGATAGACAATGGATAAGATTTGGTGTTACAGTTGCTCACTAAATTAAATCAGACGTGTCCACCTGGTAGTGTGTGATTTTCCTGCGAACAAAAATTTCAGTTTCTGCGCCCGAAGGCTCATATGGGCTGCTGAGGGCCCTATAATAAATTTTTTTAATAATGAAAAATTAATCAAGGCTAGATTATTAACTGGGTTGTTTCCTTTTGTCCATAGAAAAATCCAAACAACTTTGTCACTTTGCAAATGATGCAATCAGCATCTATTTTTAGAAGATCCAATCAGAAATTGAGATCGAGCTTCTAATAATGTACCATTAGTGACGCTAACAAATTGCATCAGTCACACTGATGTTTATAACACGACAAATAATTTTTTTTCTTCGTGTCAAAGAAAAAATCCTGTTGATTTGTGTCACATTAGCGAATGACGCAATATGCATCATTGTTTGAGGATGCTATTTGGCGCACTGTGAGCACTATGGCGCCTATGTTAGTTTTAAGTAGCCAAGGGTAATCAGGGGGCTCTCTAGAGCACCCCTCTACGTCCCTGACACATGGGCGGTCACGAAGTGTGTTCTACCTCATTATTTCCACCCCTTACCATTATTTCGGTAAGTGATTATGTACACTAAATACTTTCATTCGGTAGTGTAAGTAAACCTGTGTCCCGATATTTATGATCCAAGGACATGCATTGTTTACATTAAAATAACTCAGTTTTAGAAAACAAGGTCACAGGTCTAAGAACTTAGGATTGGTAACACATTGATGAAACCCTTCTTATATATTTCATCACACTTCTATGCATGCTGCAACGTGCGGGGACAGGTACGGTAGTATATATATATATATATATATATATATATATATATATATATATATATATATATATATAAAGCAAAAATATGTGCTTGTTTATCTGTCTTTTATGCATTACTACACCTTTCATCCGATCGCCATGAAACTTTGTGAAGATGTTGAGAATACTCCTGGGGAGGCAGGGTGCAATTTGTGGCCCCGGGCTATCCTGTGAGCGCTATGGCGCCTATGTTTGTTTTAAACATTGTGAAAGACTATGGATAAGATTGGGTTTTAGAGTCGTTCACAAAACATAAAAAGCCGCATCTGCTGATGCCCCTGCAGGGTGCGTTTTGGAGCCCTGGGGGCAAGAATTTTTTACATTTACTCAGTTTTAGAAAACAAGGACACATAAAAATATAGGATTGGTAAAGCATTGATGAAACCCTCCTAAAATATTTTGTCAGATTTTATTTTTGTCTTTTATACATAAACATTGCTTCACCTTTCATCTGATTACCATGAAACTTTATGAAGTTGCTGAGAATACACCTGGGGAGGTTTCTGCTGAATTTTTTTTTAATTGTGCATGAGCGGCGCCTCAGCAAGTGGTCATTTGGCGCCCAGGGTTATCCCATGAGCGCTATGGTGCCTGGGTTAGTTTTTAACAGTGCAATAGACTATTAGACTATGAATAACATTGGCTGATTAGTTGTTTACAAAATTAAATCAGGCGTGTTCTCCGGTGCCCAACAGGTTGCAATATATTGTTTTAAAGATTGTGGTAGAATATGGATAAGCCGTAGCATTATAGTCATTCATCAAACTGCTGCTCCCTGGGCAAGACAGCCGGGCTATCCTGGGACTTTTGTTTAACTTCGCGGCTATGGGCGGGGACGGGCACGCTAGTGTGTGTATATGTATATATATATATATATATATATATATATATATATATATATATATATATATATATATATATATATATATATATATAGGCCTATAAAATAGGCATTTTGCCAACCATCATTTAGATTTTTGAAAAAATGATGCTTAAAATCTTACCCTTTACATAACTCATACAACAAAACTAATCAATAATACACTTACTTTACACTATTGTTAGTTTAACACCAACATTTTAAATGCACAATTAAAATTAAGGTATAATGCTTTTCTAACAGAGTTAATAATATACATACACCCTAAATATATACCCATATATATGGTAAACTGTTATTTAAATTCTAAAAATCTGTTAGTAGTTTATTATTTTTACATTCTGTTAGTTCTGTCTGAAATTGACACAACATACAACTAATATTTTCTTTAAAATCCAATAATTATCTACCCGTCCTTAGTCCATCTATGACAAAAAGTTCACAGCAGTCTGCTAGCTTTTTATTTATTACTGTATAATATCCCTTAAAGGACTACTACACTTTAAAGGAATAAACTACCTGTGATGGAACAGTTTTAAAACTAATAGGTGCATGATACTTAATATGTGCCTGTAACTTACCAGCTATGCGAGCATCATGACAAGCAAGGCACATATCAGCCTTAATATCAAGATTCTCTTCAGCTATTGACTGGCCAACTGAAACAAATCTATCGACTGCTGAGCTCACAGCAAGTCCAACTCTCTCTAAAGCTCTTTGTTGCTTTTCTGTAAGTTTTGTACGTTCTTTATGATTCACTAAGGTAGTTATCTAATAGATTAAAATTAAAAAAAATGTTTTTTAAGATCAAATAAATCAATTATTAATAAAAAAGCTTCATTTTTAAAAAGATGCAGAAATATTTGTTAGACAAAGGACTCTTCCAAAAACAAGTTTATCAGCATGCGTGTCATGTTTGCATTGAGACTAGCAATAATAATATTCAACATCTATTCTTCAACTATATGAATTTGGGTGTTTTGGTTACAAGTGCCAACAAAAACTGTTGCTATCCAGTCTAATTCAGCCTGTCATGACCAAGAATTATTTTAGTATTTATAATTATTCATTGCCTACACCTTTTCCCTGCAGCACGATTACAATATCGTTTTAACAATAAATTTTGGTATATACTTACTTAGAAAAACAAATTTATTATTTATTATCCGCATTTTAATACTTTTGACCGGCTTGCCAGATATGAAGTTACTCTTTTTACAAGACTCATAGCAAGAACAAAACTGCTATTTGAGATTGACTGTGATGTCACTTTTATTTTGCCCCAAACAAGCAGTGTCAAACACTGTACAGTCTACAAACTCCCTGATCTTTAGTTGTAGTTTATAGATAGATTATAATACTGCTCTACTAACATGTTTAAATTAGGAATGCAATTTTCTGCACTGATATACCAGTTAATAGACATTAATTATTATACCAGACGTTAATTATTAGCTATGGGTAGATTGAAGTTTGTGATGTATTAAATGTTAAAAGTAAGAAAAAAAAATTATTACTTCCATGTTATAAATTAGTTTACACATTCAGCTTATAATTCTGAGTTCAGTTAGAACTATGGATAGTTTCAACAGGTGTTAGGGTGAAGAGGACAATCCATTACTGATATCATTATCAGTCTTGACGTTTTATAAGTATGACTTTTTCTACAATACTCCCAAATAAAGCCATCCACACATTTCAAAACGGAATTAAAATTAACGCATCTGCCCGACTGCTTGTTCTGTTTTTACAAAGAGTGCTAAGCTCCACTTGAAATCCTAATATTAATTACATATGTTACAAATTTTTCTGGCTTTTAAAACTTATTTTAAGGCATAGTATTTATAGATTCCATAACGTTTGGCATTAAAATAAATTAAAATTTTCCAGCCAGAAAAAGATATGTATGTGCAATGGAGAGAAACTACCGCCTTCATTCGCAGTGATGTTTTCGATGGTACTGTGCATGCATGTGTTTACAAACAAAACTGCAGAACCCTAACCCTATCCCTAACTGTACTAACCCTAGTGCAGCTATTAAAGGTCGCTGCGCATACGCAGAACTATTGAGTTTCGTATTTTCTGCCGAAACATCTTTTACAGAGTAGACACTTCGTTAAAATTATGATGAGATTTTGCAAGATAAGCAGTTTTTTTCATTTGTCGTGGATAGGACCCTTAAAATGAACATAAAAAAGCGGAGCATGACATTTCACTCTCAGGGTTAGATGTAATTTCTGGTTTCGGAAAGGAGACGGACTACTTTATTATTATTGCCCTATCCTGCTATAGATATCTAATCAATTCTAATATCAATATGGTCAATATGCTTATGTTCGGGGGATTTTTTTTATACCAGTGTCTGATAATAGAATCTTTTAAAAAATGATTTTATGTTACTGGTAGTTGACTAAAAATACACACATGGCATGCTAATGTACTACTGTCAATATGCTCACCATATCCGATATCCCTAGCTGCTAACCCGTCTAACATACAATTTCAAACCAAAAATGTTCTCTCTTACTATCTAGATCTAGATTCTAGACTAGATCTAGATCTAATTCTAACCACTAAAATCTAAATTGTCTAAATCTAATCGTGATTACTAGATCTACACACTACTGTCTACACAGTTACTCACAGTAGATTCTAGTCAGTAGGCCTACTCAATTGGCTAAAACTAACAACTTGAACTTTAAAAAAGTAACAAACTAAACAAAACAAGCTAACACACATTTTTGGAAGAGTCTATTATCGCCTATCGGACACCGGTATCTTAAATCATCCGTTATTTTACCTGGGTTACTAATGGTACAAGAGTTTGTTCTATTGATTTTGTACGGATTTCTAAAGTTAACTTAGATTCGTTTCTAGGTTGATATCCAGCCATTCTTGCGAGCATAAATATTATATTGAATAACTCAGCCTAGATCTCGATCTAATCTAGATCTAGTAGTATTTTTATTTTAGGCAACGACTCAATTTATTCATAATAAAAAGATATTGCTTTTTTTGTTTTACAAATAATCTAGATTTTAAAAAAATATAGATACAGCTCAGCTGATACTTCTATTTTAGAAATAAAATGTCATGGTTTGAAAAATAAACAAGTTATTATAATTTTTAAAAATATTCTTGTTTCGTTTACTCAAGTTTACAGGGTTATTGGTTTTTTGTTTGTTTGTAGGGGGGCGGCGACCCGATGTCAGTGATGTCCTCCTGCTATGTTTTGCAGTAGTATGTTTGTGTACTTTGAATAGTTGAACTAGCTTAGTTTATATTTGTTTATTATTTTGAGTTTTTTTACTTTTTTTGTGAACAAACCCCACTCAATCTAAGACATTCTTTCGACACAAAATACTGATGTAGGCATACTATGATATGATTATACGATCGATTAAAATTAAGGTACTAAGTTTAGGCTACTAATTTTTTATTAATAGTAATATTATAATATAACTAAGGTAGGTTCAAGTTCGACAAGTTTTAGATCTGTAATGAATTTTAGTTGTTTGTTTGTATCCTAAAAAATTGTAAAATGAATTTTTGAGTATTTTATCCCAAAATCACATAATATAATTATTAATATAATATATTATATAGGCCTACCAAGTTAGTTAGAGAAAGGATTAAGAATTCCATTGATACCAAATTTATATTTCTAGCTTTACGCCTAATAGTTTATTAGTAGGGAAGAAATAATTTTTTTTTTCTTTTTAAAATGTAGGCTACTGTCTTTTTATAAGCTTTGTAAAAATGTTTGGATAATTAACTATTAATTTTAGATAACAATGTCCGATAATAGACTCTTCCATAAAATAGGTGTGTTGGGTAGTTATTATTAGTATTGTAATCTCGACTAATTTTATGGTTAGATATTAGGGTTAGGCGTGTGGTGGGACTAGGGTTGGAGGTTAGGGTAAGGGACGGGTGTTGGGAAATTGCGAGACACGAAAAGCGAAATGGCGAGGCAGGAAAATGCGAGAAGGGCGCAAAAACGGTGGGTCACATGACTTTTTGTCTCGCATATTACCACAACCCGATACTTACGCTGGATGGTGTTAAAATGCGAAGATTTCTGCAAAAAATTTACCGCACCAGATGTACAGTGTTTTTTTTTTTGTGCAGACTTCAAAGACGTTTCGTTTACATTGTTAAAACTTCCTATTTTTTTTCCGTCGCTAGACATACTTATGATTTGTGAACTCCCCCCATCTTTTGTGTCGACTTAGAATACCACCTTGTTTGAAACCGCCCGAAATACCGCCGACAATAGATCAACTTCTTTCTTTTGTGTGGAACGCCGAGGCCACCTGATTTACCGTCTTTGAAGATCACCGTGCCCCAATCCGCTGCTGCCGCAGACATATTTTGTATTGTTGGATAGAAACTTTGTATTATAGCCGCCGCCAGTGTTGTGTGGGATGAACTGGGAGGTCAACTGTGACATGTTGTGAATGTGGATTGGAAGAAGTAGCCAAAGAAAAATGTATAAATGGGAGTCTAATGAACTGGGTTAGATGTACTATGTGTGAAAGATGGTGTCACAAGGTGTGTTTGAGTAGTTTGACTGTTTCAGAAGATTTTGTTTGTAAATTTTGTTTGCAATTAAAATTACTTAATAAAAAAAAAATTACACTTTTTAGAACTGTTTATACTTTTACACTTTTTGCAAGTACAACAATCCATGAATACATGTTGCAGAATATCTCTCCTGCTGAAAAGATTATACCAGTTCACAATGCCACAGCTCACGTTTGTATAAACATGAGCGGGCTAGATTGAGATGGGATTTTCCTCTCGCTTACGAGAGCGGGCGATGACAGTAGCACAGCAACGTTAGGATTTTTTAATAGATCTATCTATCTTCTTAGTATCTATATATATGTATACTAACCGTCCCGGCCAGGCCCTGCTCTGGCTTCTGTGAAAACCTTTCTGTTAAAGACCATTACCTGTGTGTTTACTAATCATCATAAACCCGGCATTGCCCACCAAACCACAACCAACCAAAACCTAAACAACAAAACGCAAACATAACGCTAACACAATTACAAATACAAACGAAAACAAAAACCTAACAACAAACCCAACCACAACCACAAACACCAATACGAACACAAAGAGAAAAAAAAACGAAAAAGCAAACGAAAACAAACCAAATCCAAACGCAAAACCAACCACAAACACAAACCCAAAGAAAGAAAACACAAACAAAAAAGCAAACGAAAACAAACCAAATCCTAACGCAAAACCAACCACAAACACAAATACAAACACAAACCCAAAGAAAAAAAACACAAACGAAAAAGAAAAAAGAAAGAACAAAAACGAACCAAATCAAAATGCAACCACTAACGCAAACCCAACCTAAACACAATGAAAATACAAACGCGAACATAAACGCAAAGTGCTCACAGTCTAGCCCGGGGAGAATCGCCTGTTTCAGCTTAATAAACGACTATAGTACCCCAACTTATTCATAGTCTTTTGCACTCACTTAAACGAACGTAGGCGCCAAACCGAACACGGGAGGTCCGGGGCCTCAAATAGCACCCTGTCTGGGCGCCAGAGGACGCCCGGATTCGATTCACTTAAAGACTATAGTAACCTTTCTTATCCATACTCTATCGCACTGTTTAAAGCGAAATTATGCACCATAGGATAGCCCAGAGCGCCAAATTGAACCCTGGTCGGGCGCCGGCGGACGCGCCTGTTTCAATTTAATGAACAATTATAATACTCCAAGCTTAACCGTAAAAAACCTACAACATTTGCACTTGATCAATCCCCGCTAATTATGTAATTATTTTTTTCCCAACACCAAAACAAAGTAATAAAAAGTAAATTCTTTTCCACTAATGCAATGTTTTACAAAGGGAAGTAATTGTGTTTTCCTAATTTATCAAAGGGAAGTAAGTGCCAAAGGACTAAATATAAATAATTTTCAGACATAATTAGAATTTTTGTTATTTTTTTTTAATTGTGTTTAATGAACATGCCGACAATTATTACTATCAGTTTGAAAAATGAAAATTATTTCCCAACACTTTCAATAGTAATTTTTTAACTCATAAATTTAGACAAATGCACACGGTAATAGTCTAACACTTTAATCAATCGAAGTATGTCAACGACAAACATATTTATTTTTACATACAGAATTGAGCTTTATATATTAGATATATATATATATATATATATATATATATATATATACATATATATATATATATATATATATATACATATGTAACTAGGGTAGGCCTAGCTACTAGTTACAAATCTGTTACAACTGATAACGAACGATAAGCCGCGACGCAGTATTACAGTCTGATGCAACCGATAGCAGGTGGCTTATTGGATCGGACTGATAACAATCTCAAAGCCAACGCGTGCTATTTTGGGAAACGGTACGAGGGGATTCAGACGGCCTGTCAACTTTGATTGATAGGATGCAGATGTTTTAATCGGGCTGTACGTTAGAACTGCGCAACTAGTAGTCGGAGACATCGATTACAAATATCGATGAATACAAGTACAAGGACGAGTACGAATACAAGGGATAAATAGGAGGGGACGGCGGAGCTCTCTCCCTTTTTCGATCGCTCGCTCTCTTCATCGCTCGCTTTGTCTGTGTGACATATCAAGTTGGTTATATTGTGTTAAGAAGGACAATAGACATGTGGATTCAGTTATATGAAGCCTAGTGAGGACTGTTAGGGGTCAGTTGATTCAGACTATTATTGTGAAGCATTCCTGTTGATTCATTGTGTTATATTGAAGCATTTCTTGATTCATGTAATAAAAGGATCAATAGCGATTTAGGCACCCATAGTCAACCTTGTGCATAACTGTGTTTAGTGTGTGTGTGAATTCGAACATTCAGGAACAGTGAAAATTGAGGAACGAGGAAAATTTTTCATACACACACGGTAAGAAAGAACTCTTTTGTTTTACTTACGGAATAAAATGTCTACTCTGGACGAGAAGCAGACCCATATAGTGGTCCTACCCAGAGAGTCCCACATTAACAAATTTTACGGGGACGGAGATCCAACTTTAACCAACAGGTTCAGTGAAGAGGTCAAAGCGGCCTGGGCCTCGAGAGGCATGTCACCAGAGGAAAGATTAAGACTGCTGATGGGCAGTATAGGAGAGACGGTCAGGGCAGAGGTCAAATGCCACGATAAAACCGTCCAATCAGATCCAGATAAGGTGCTGGATCTGATTATGGAGACCTTTGGGGAGAGACGGTCGGGATCGCAACTGCTGTCAGGGTTCGTAGGCTTAAGGCAGAGAATGGCGGAGAGTGTGATGGAGTACTCACACCGGATGAACAGGGCCTTTGATTCGGTAAAGGTCAAAACACCTGACATTGATGTGCGCCTACTGAGGGACCATTTCATCGAGGGGCTAGCAACCCCGATCTTAAAGAGAGAGTTGAAAGAGGAGGTCCACAAAGACCCGCAGTTGACCTTCCTTCAGGTCAGGAACTCAGCGATCCGCAGGTCCGAGGATGAGGACCAATCGAACTGTTCGGTGGACAAAGTCTCTGTGCCGGAACAGAGACAATCCCCACCCACAGGGGCCGACACGATGGAGACCATGATGGCTCAACTGTTGGCCCACCTAGATAAGGTTGACCAACGTTTGGAGAGGTTAGAAAGCAGGTCAACAGCTGAGAATCAGGAAAAGAACGGGACAAAACAGAGACAGGTTGGACGGCCGCGTCCTGCCAAGCCATTACTCCAATGGACGGCCGACGGTCGACCAATTTGCTGGTCCTGTTCACAACCCGGACATATGGCACGGTACTGCCAGGGAAACGGTCGTCCTCTGTAAGGCAGGGCCAGGCTACAGAGGGGCGAGGTTATGGCCCAAGAAACAAAATGATGGGAGTCTGTCCCGAAATGGTGATTACGATTGGGGACATCGCGGTGAAGGCAATTGCGGATACAGGCTCCCAGGTGACGACAATCACGGAAAATTTTTACACCAAATGGATGAAAGGAAAAGACCATAGGTTGAGGTCTGACACATGCATGCGCCTGACGGCAGCTAATGGACTAACCATTCCATACTGTGGTTATTTTCTGGCGGATGTCGTGGTGGCGGGACATAGGTTGAAGCAGGTTGGGGTGTTCGTTACGAAACACAACCTAGAGACAAATGTGTCAAATATACCTTGCCTGTTGGGCATGAATATTCTTGGCCAGTTGCCAGAATTTCTTACAAATATTGTCGGATCGACCACACCAGGTCGGGGATCCAAGTTGGCCAGGTTTGCCAAGACCAGAGGAAGGATATCAGTCCCGGCAAACACGGTCAAGGCAATCACATTACAAATTGGTGATAGAAGTGTGAATGGTGATGTGATGATAGAACCATGTGGCGCCGCACTGAGG